TGACACATAACTGCATGCGCGGGTGAAAACACAGGGTGTGAGTCCTTATATATATATATATAGGTCTATAGAGTCTACTGTTACAGGGCAGAGTTCTCCTCTACCAGAATCGGTTCGTGCGTCTAGTTTGTTGACAGAGGCTGCAATTCGTTGCTTTCAAGCACCTCGAAGCCATGGCTCCATCGCCGGCACCTGGGTCAAGCCCCTCGAAGCTTGGTGACGAAGCGGATCTCCGGCAGCTCGTCGACCTGTTCTCCAAGAGTTGACCCTTGGAAATGGCCAGGAGACCTTGAAGAAGAGTATGTTCAGAAAAGGCATGGCCTGGGCCTTGGACTGGGCTAGTAGTTAGCACCCAGGACGGGGGGGGGGGCAGGACCCTAATTCAAGCGTGGGGATGGAGTGGTGAGAGTTTCTCTGAGAGTCTAAGGCGACAAAGCCCGTATCTCAAGCCTTCCAAGAGCATGACAAGAAAGGTTGATCTGGTTTTGTAGTCTAAAACCTCTAAAACCCTTAGCAAAGAACCATGGTTGTTTAGTAAACACCAATAAATCAATGGTGGTTGGAATTCCAGGGATACTCCAAAGGGAATGGTTTTCATTTTGCCAGTCACTACCTGAAATCCATCCTTTGTAGGCCATGAAGCGGCCGCACCGGGAAGTCTCGGTGAAGCTTCCCATTGTAGCACTCTTGTTGGAATTCCTTTCTCAGTCACATTACCATGGTTTTAGAGCAAGTGACCTGGTGGGTTGAGCAGGTGACCTGGTGGCGCCCTTGTTTCTTTGGCCTTTACTCTGGTCGCGCCCTAGAATCTTCAGCCCGCCCTCCCCGATCCCTCCCCGATCCCTGGACCGGTTGGCGACGAACCGCCGCAAACCCGTCCTGGTCGTTGAGGTCCTGTTGGGTGCTGAGCTGCAACCGAAAGCCATCTGGTCCTTCAAGGCGGAGGTCGGGCGCTGCTTTCGCGCTGCTTTCGCCGCGCCTGGGGGGTTTTGCTGGTGGGTTGGTGGCGGTTTTTCGGGGTGAAGGGGCGTGAGACGACTCGACGCGCTGCCGGGGGTGGGAAGCCAGCCACGAGTGGTAGACCAGGTTTCGGTGAGGTTCGGGTGGAGATGGCAGCCCCAGAGCCATTCGGAAGAAGAGACAACGGTGCATGTCACGGTTGTAGAGGAACATCTCCTGTCCAGGTTGTCTGTTTGTGCAACAGCGTCTATAAATAAGTTTCTAGAAGAAGATGAAATTGCGTGGTCATTTGCCGGAAGACCGTTCTTGAACGCTTGAAGGTTCCAATCATTCCAGAGTCCCCAAACGGTGGCGATGCGGCGATGCGGGTGGGTTCCACGGCAGAGAATCGGCTTTCCCGAAACTTTGGCCGGGGCAGACCATCCGCTGGTTGGGTTTGGGCAGATGGAGATAGCAGCGAAGCATTGTATATCATCAACCTTCAGCTTCTTCCGCTTCTGGGATGAGGGATGGTCCAAATGTCTGTCATTTTCAGTTCATTGATTGGGGATGGATTCAGATCAAACATCTACTGTAAACGGAAGGGCAACACATCCCATAGTACCTTTGGTGGAAAGTGCGTCAATCATCATTGCCTGATTACCTGAACTGAAGCTCGGCGGCAAGGTTCGTTCTTGGATGACTTGAACCTCCACTAATGTTGCAAGTCGTGACTAGCCCGCCCAATATGGCAGTGGGTCAAAACCACGGGACCCTTGTTGACCACGGAAAGCCAACAGAATAGACGATAAACATAGTTGCTATGTATATTCATATATAGGGAAGTCGGTCAGTCCACTTACCAGGGTGAGTTCCGGGCCTGGTGCTTTTCCATCCAAAACATGGGCCACCCATTTGACCACGGTGCACTTCTCCGCTTGGCACGACGATTTTTCGGCCTCCGCACCGCCTGTGTTTCGCTCCAGCTGCAGCTGTCGACCCGTCAACGTCCCGCGCGGTCGCGTCGTCGCCATGGTCATCAAGACTGACCTCTGCAGCTACACTGAGCGGCTGAGCAGAGGTCAAGTCTTCGTTCCGGGTACACGGAAAAGGAACAGGTTTTGGGAGATGGCACAGGTTTGGAGGTGGAGATGGTGCTTTTGTTGGAACATGGACCTTCCTGGACGACCGTGCTATTGAGCGTCACCGGTGCTTTTTGGGAAAGCTGGGATGTGGGAAGCTGCGGGCACAAACGACCCACACCTGGTGAGGTTAGTCCCGCACCTGGTGGGATGATTCCGTTGGATCCACACCGTTGGATCCTTTTGCAGCTTTGTGTTTGGCTTCCAAACACATTGATTAGACCAGAGAGAGATCCCCAAGCAGCTTGTGTTGAAGTCAGCAGGTTGGAACACGAGTGCCAGGAACCTTCAAAGCAAGGTGCTTTTTGGGTTCAGTAAGACCGTGTTCTCTGCCCTCCGGGTTATGCCTGAAAGCACACTGGTCCCCAGTATCGCCACTGAGGTACAGGATCTATCCTGGCCACGGCCAGAAATTCGTGGCCAAGGATGCCAAGGTGGGCGGCCCCGCTGTGCTCCGTTGACCCAGGTGAGCTCCGGAGCGTTTCGGAGCCACGCTGGTCTTCGACATCGGACCGGTTTTGGCCGACATTTGACCGGTCTGTTTGGATGAAGGTGTTTTCGACCCACATTTCACCAGGTGAGCTTCTTCATCAACGCAAAGGCCGACTCGTTGTTCCACCAGCGCATCAAGCCGGCGGCTTGGGTTGAGCAAGGCTTGGTAGGCCCTGGACTTGGTGGACTTGATGTGGGAAGCGCTGGGAGAGCGAGGACTTGAAGCCTCCTTGCGATGCAATTCTTTTGCAGTAGAACCACTACAGGGCGGGGGGGTACACAGCGGCCTCCAGCAAGTTAGGAAGTTTGGAGTGACACCTGGGCCTCCACGTTCACACCGGGTCCAAGGGTGTGGGTTTAGAACTTCAGGTATCAAAGCCATTATATTTATTCGTGATGATCATGGGCACTATGTCCGGGTCCCTAATGTTTGGATACACATTTGCCGTTCTTCACCATAACAGCTGTACGCGGTAATGTTTCCCATCTGCAAGTCTGTTTATTTCCTGACGTTCTGGAAGGCACAGGTAAAAAGGGAGCTTTGTGTAGCACCTACAAAGACCTCGAACCTCCCGGGTGTCCAACAAACGTCTCAAAACAGCTTGCATTTGGGACCTTCTCCACCCCAATTCCACTTGGCCGCCAGCGATTCGCTGAGGTGAAGCTCCGATGGACTCAAGCATGGCGCCGCATGAACAAGAAGGGCAAGGTGGAAGAAGGTGGCAAGAAGCGTGCGCGCAAGGCGCGGTTTCTTCCGTGAAATGTTCGGCGCGGTTCCGCTTTTTTTGTGCTCCCTTGGTGGAGCTCAGAGGGAGCATCTCCAAGGGTGAGGGATGGAAAGCAGGGGCGGAGGGTCATGGGATCCTAAATGGCCTTGAAAAGGCATTGATGTTTATGTCCCAGACACATGGTATCCATTTTTCCAAGCCTTGTCAGGGATGAAGGGCAAGATGTTTGCATTTGGGGGGTCAGTTGACCTTAGGCCCGGACAACGGATTCGTGGGATTTGTGGGAGCCAACCGCAGGGATTTGTAGGTAGGCAAGAGCCAAGACCAACTTGCACGACATGTTTCTTGAGCTACTGGTAACTTGCCGTCACTGGCCTGATTCTGTTGCCATCTTTGTTTCTAAGCCTTTAGTCAGCATCACAGACCGTTTGTGCGGAACGTCCTGAAAGAACACACGATCCTTGTGGGTGTCGTGAGACAACACATGGGGCGTGTGTGGAGGGAGACTTGGTGTGTTCGCCTTTAAGAACTGAAGAAGAAAGCAGAGCAATGCGAGCCAAGACCCTCCCATTTACTGCACTACCCAAAGCTACTGTAGATGTTAGGACATGGTAGGACTCCTGGACCAGTAATCGCTTTGACGATACGCAATGGAGCACTGAACATTCTTTGATGCCCTTCCAAGCCCGTGACCAGCACGCTCCGGTTGATAAAACGAATCCTAGCGTAGATAGACCAAGCCTGGTAGATAGTGGCCAAGTCTGCATGGATATTGGACCAGAATTACAAGCTTATGGCTTCTTCTTTTCGAAAAAGCAACATCTTCACAGCCCGCGCAGTGATCAATCACAGCGCTCACCCCGAGGCGCAAAAGTTTCAGAAGGCGATCGTGGGTATGTCCTTGGATGACCTCAAGAAGAAGTGGCCCGACCAAAGAGTCTGCGGCAATGTTTGTGGATTCGAGATTCTTCAGTTGTTGGGCTTAGTCATGCAGGAAGGGTAGCCAACCAGCATGTGGTGCCGTCTTGGCCAGACGGAGCTTTCCCTAACCCAGGCTTCAAAATGCCCTGCCAGCTAGCCGAGACGCGAAGCCGTTGATTCTGCTGGTGTTTGAAGGACATATCACGGTTGTTAAATCCGTTTTTCTGGAAAAACGCCGCTAGCCGAGAAGCCGAAGTACTTTCGCCAAGCCGAAGTCTCCCTGGAATTCCTACCCCATCCTTTGTTGCTACGAATTCATCGCACGTGGCGGACAAAGCGGATTGGACAATGAACCGAGCTTCGCCGTGCTGGCTCCCGAGGAAGGCACAGAAGCCCGAGCTGCGTCAGGCCCGAGAGCAAGCTGCGAAGGACAGCAGACAAAGGGGGCAAAAGGTGATGGGATGGGATGAATTGAAGGGAAGGGATGATGGATGATGGATAGAAGAAAGGCCCTTTGAAGAAAGGGATTTCTTCAATTCCCTGGGATGGGATGGGAGGGCCTTTCTTCCAAATAGAAGGAAGGGATGAGAAGAAAGGCCCTTTGAAGGATTTTGCACCAAGAGGTCCAGACGACAGCCCCAAGAGGTCTGGGTGGTGCTTCCACCGCTGGTGGAGGATGTTGTGGAAACAAGCGATGCGAAGAGTATTCGGCAAGAGTGCTTTGAGTACCCGTGACTACCCATAATCTATCCCTCTACAGTAATCTATCCCTTTCTACTGGCAACCTGTTTTCTACCCTTGTTGTTTTCCTTCCCCGATCGCACCAGCTGGAGTTGGCTGGTCATGTGTTTCTTATGGTCGCATCCAAGATTGGCCCTGCAGGAGGCGAAGGCCAAGCAAATGGCACAGAAGAAGGCAACCAGCAGCAACATTGGCCTCAACAAGTGGCGGAAACTGTCTTGGGCGTGGTGTTTTGGCAGGGCCCAAAGGGTCGTGGGACGTGAATACCCAGCATGCAATTACAATTGTGCATGGCCATCATAGCGTGGCACTTGTTTCTAATAGCTTCTTGTTACTACTAGTAAGGCATACTAGCTTCCATGCAGTCATGCCACCTCCTTAGGTTTTCTTTTTTCGTCACGTCACGCTGCCACGCCACGTGGCTCGCGCGAGAGAGACGACTGGGACACATGAGACCCTGAGGTTGAAGCACACAGCTCCAGTGTTACAACTATATAGTTGAACCGGTGTTATTGATTTGAGAAGATGAAAAGGTCCAGGCACAAAGAACACAGCAAGGCGATGTCTGGTCGATAGATCGACTCTCCCATTCTCCGCACCGATCGATCGTCTCGAAAGATGCGCTTAGGCAAGCCTGCAGTGCCTAAGGGCAAGGCTGACAAGGTCTGGGTCACTGAGTTTGGGATCACGTGAGTGTTGGATTACCACCAGCGAGACCTTTCAACTTTCAATTGGGTTTCACTGTAGTTACTGGATTTTCTCTCCAAGCATCCGGGGGTTAAACGGAGCGTTTCCCTTTGCCGTGCGCATTTGGATCACGCCCGGCGTCGCTAAGACACACCAAAAGCGGCTGAAGGATCGGACCTTCGGGTGAAACGTTCAAGCGTGTATTTGGGTCAGCCCCAACGTTGGCCTAAAAGAGAAGAGCTGAAGACCGAAGTCCTCAGGTGAAACCGTTTGGTAGCACGACTCTTTTGAACCCAGCGCTACACGGCAAAGTAATTTAAAAACAGATTCAGATACTACACTATACAATCTCAAGTACAGCACTGCAAACACTATGGTATGCGCATACACGAAAACTTTTGACACGCCGCCTCAAAATGTGGCGTTCTAGTCACCATTTTGTTGTACATTCAATTGTTTGCTTCTTTGAATTGATTGGATTCCGCTTCGTCTGAGCGGTCGTAAGGTAAAAGTCCATGCAACCAAAGCTCTATACATAAAGTATAGCCCGTTCCGGTGCTTTGCACAGTTTCCACAAAAGTTTTGTAAATTCAACATAGCAATCGTTGGTTCAGACGTTACAACAATGCGTTCGTGGTGCTCAACATCACGTGGTGCAGCTGTTGCACGTGTGTTGTATTGCATTTGGAACCAAGCTCCAAACATGCATACTGTATTTCTTTGTACGTGGCACTGTTGGTTCAGCTGTCACAACAGTCCACGTGCATTGATTCGAAATTCTGGAAATTGTTTTGTCCACTGAAAACTCAATTGCCTGTAGACTGTAGACCCCTGTGGTTGTTGTTCCTCCTCCATCACCACGTCACTATCAGATTCGGACGAATAATGAAAAGATTGGTTTCTGGCCTCCCTCTGTCTGTTGGCTGTATACGTCTCCAACACTACCTCATGTAACAAGTCCTGTGGGAGGCCCAACTCCTCGTAACACCTTAGGTAATAAATGTTTGTCCACTTCATTTCCTGTAAAGGTGGACATCACAGAACGCCACTGGGTGTAATCTTATTTTAGCACAGTGGCCGCTTAAAGAGACTGCCAAGAGGAAAGCAATATGGACAAGGAGAGGGGGCGACAGTATCATCCCTATTTGATTTCAGCACCCACTTGAGGAGTTTTTTTGACAAATCCTTGAGTTGAGATCCTCATCCTTTGTTCCCAGGGCTGTTTGTGGTGACCTTTGAACGCGCGTCCCGACGAGCACGTGAGATCTCCGACGCGTCGGAGCCGGGTTTCGAGCGATGGACGCCTGGTTGGAGAGATGTCTTGAAATGGGTGATCACCCGGGGCGCGTCATGGGTTGACAGTTGACATTCCTTTTGGGTATTTATGTGGTTATTAGTGGGTATGGGTCAGCTCTTTTTCTGACAGTTCGAGCAAGCTGCACTGGGCTCTGTTGGCCAAGCTCTATTGATTCTATTGGATCCCTTGGCAGTTCTAGTTTCCTTCAAGTCTTCTTTCATTTATTCTTCTCGCCACCACTGCTAACTAAGAGAATCAGCGTCAGAACAACTGCTGCACCTCCAGACTCCAGACCCTCAGATCAAATCCTTGTTTTGTGTCGCGCCGAGTTCGTCAGTCTTCAGCCAGGGGGCGAAGCTGCCCAAGGGCGGTGGTGCGCCAGCAGGAGGTGAGGGGTTTGCACGAGGTGAGGGGTTTGCAGGGCTGATATTCTTTCTTCCACTTCAGGCAAGCAATTTCGGGGTGTGTACTTTTTCGTGCATCGTCCGTTCCACTTGAGTCATCGTCAGGTTTCTGGATCTACTGATATGCACAAAAGAGATCAAAAGAGCCATCTAGGTCCGAACATCATGCGTCATCAGTGGTGATTCTCCATTGCTACATGGTCCGAGCATGGCACCGTTTTCACCAAACGCACCAAGCCCTAGTGGGGGTGATGATGCTTGGACCAAGATGCGAACCACATCCGCAGCAACGAACAACATCCATGGGGGCAGACGCATGGGGTCGCTGGTGGCGCATGGGGTCGATGGTGTGCTGAGGTTCCAAGAACTTCAAGGGCAAGAAGTGAGGCGTTGGAACGCCACAGCTGCGGCCTTGAATGCGGTGAGAAAACAGTGGCGTTTTACACGGGGCCTTTGTTGGGATGGTGAAGCGGTGAGGAGTGTCATGACACTGGGTATGCTTCGTCATGTTAGGATCATGTTTTCCGTGAAAAACCGGTGTCACTTGACAGGTCAAGAGAGTTTTACCGAAGACCCCCCACTGCCTTTTAACAGGTATTTGCTACCAAACCACTCAAGACTCAAGGTTACACTGCTCAACCCTTGACAAGGGATCTAGGGGCAGGCAGCCCCAAAACCTATCCAGCAGAAGTACAAGGGGTCAAGGTCTGTGGTTGTCCGAACATTCACTTTGTCATCATTCACGAGGCAAGTTTTACTTACTATAACGGTTGAACAACGGTTGAACACTTGATTCCCATGAAAAGACCACATACGACAGGTCGTCGTGTTGCCGCGCCAGGTCGTGATCTTGCACCACGCGACGACCATCAGAGAAGGATATCAGGCAGCATTTTCGAGGTCTCAGGAAGTACCGTGGCGTGGCTGGCGGGATGTTCGCCTCATTTTGACATGGCGGGATCACACGCGTCTTCACCGCACGGCATTTGAACAGGTGATGTGACCTGTGATACTCTGTTGAGAGTGTTTTTTGCAGTCATAGAATGTCATAGTATATAATACCAACTGCAGTGTTTTTTTTTTTTTTTAAATCTGATAATCTGACATAGGCTTAGCTGCGGTTCGAGAAACGACTCCTAGCATCTGCTGGGCTTTTTTCAAGCAAACAGACTAACTTAGGCCGTGCCCTCTCTCAAACCGGAGTCTTTTCCATTCGGAACTCACCCCATGAATCCCCATGAATCAAGCACTGACCAGCAGTGAATCTCACTGCTTTTTCGTATGGCAGGCCCACTTTTCTCGTTTATATATATCTACCAGGCCCAATGTGCTGATGTACCAGGCCCCAACTCCTGATGTGTTTGGCCCAACGTCCTGATGTGTTTTTGGACGTAGATGATTCCGCCTTTTCTTTTTCGGGTGATCGAAATGGGATGTTCCGAAAGCGGTTTCGACACTCGATTCTTTGGTTTTGACGGCTCCCACATCCTCCAGCACTTCCGAAAGCTCCATCTCTCCTTGAGGAACACCCACCACGGCCATGTTTTTCTATTTGTGTGTGCGTGTGTGTGTGTGTGTGTGTGTGTGTCTCTGTCTTGACCGTGTCTTCCCGAAGCTCCACGGCCGGAGGCCATGATCCACTGCGGCATCATCCGCCCCTCAGCCTCGATGGTATGCCACACATGGTGGCAAAAGAGCTGTGGGTGCTCACTTGACCATACTTGAGCCGTTTTGTCCCTCCCTCGTTGAACTATCTTCAGATGATTTCCATCACAAACTCGCTCGTTGACTCGTTGCCTGTTGCGTGGGCGACACGGACGTTCGAGGCCAATGCGCGGCCGTGAAGCACATGTCTTGTGAGCTGCTGCGCTCCGGTGACAAGGCGATCCCAGAGAACGAATCTGCGAAAAACACGAAAGCTATTTGGTTCAAGGTGATTTTTCCTTGCAAGAGCCCACTGCCTTGCCCAAATGGCCGTGAAAATGGAGTTGGAGGGACGAGGGAAATCCCAATGACTCGCCCTTGTTGCATGTTCCAACCGAGTTGTTTTCTTTTCTCCAGGTTTTGCATAGACGATTCATCCGCTGATCAGCATCATGGACCTACAAACACGTCAACCTTGATTGGGTAGGGCTCGAGTCACACAAATCTGTGTGGCCATCTGGGTCAGTGAACCGTGGATGCTGCAGTTGTTCGATGGGGCCCCAGGGATGTGAAGCGCACATGTGAGTTCTGCGGCCTACCTGGAAGCAGCCAATTCGAAAAGTCCGAACAACCTGGAAGCGGCCCACCCTGACTCCACGAACCAGTGGAAAAGTCGTGGCGGGTCCATGTTAGTCTTTGGCGGCGGGGTTCGTTTCTCTCAGCTAGAGCAGGGCGAATCGCCCATCCCAGCGTCGCACTTCGGGTCGAGCGTCGACCGGTTTTCGCAGAAGGGCAAGGGTGACAAAGAAACATTTCTGTCACAAAGATCGACCTTGAGCATAAACCGACCAACGAAATAGCGACTTTCTTCTGTCTGGCCCATATGCGTGAATACTTAAGACTCCCTAACCCTTGGGGTTTGGCCCATGTTCCTTCTTCCACGGGGTTCTGGAAAGGTCTCCCTCTTTTGCCACACCCAATTTTTGTCCAACGCTGAATCTCTACTCGACTGTCCAGTCCCATTGCTGGGAGGCCATCGTCACCTTCCGCTGGTGCTACCACGCCGAATACATCAGCCGTGGCGCCCGAGAAAACGCCGTTGAACGCCGTGGACCGTGGCTAATTGCCATGGAGGCCACCGTGAAGCGGCCACCACGCAGTGGAACATCGTCGCTTCTTTGTTGGTGGGACAAGTTCCACTTGGCACGTGGGGGCCGTTAGCGGCGAACCGCCAAAGATCACACTTTGATGGATACAAACTGGGTGACGCCGATCGGCGAAGAGACAGATGGGCCCCTTCTTGGATCTGGGGTGGGCGAAGAGGATGTTGACCCACGCCCTGGATGTTGAGCTTTTCTTCCCACGCCCTCTTTGATGAACACGTGACTCGATGGATCTTTGGTTTACGAGAAGAGGATACCTGATTCTCGGCACCTTCCCCCTCGTTAAACTTCCAATGCTTTGTGCTTGGGGGTTATATGTAATAGCTTTCCCTTTTACTGTTTGTAGTTGGCTTTTGGATGTTGCTCATGGGCCGAATTCCTAAGGATTGTCGCAGCTGTGCTGCTTCTGCTGTGCTGTGGTGAGGAAAATGAGAAAACGGCCAACTGCTTTCTGAATCTGCAGGTTCCGAGATCGTTTCGTCCGTCGTCCCCGTGATCCAGTCGGTAGGCCGTGACGTGTCAGTCGGTCGGTCTTTGTTCTCACGAGGATGGGTGGTTTTCACCTAGACGCTCCAAACAGCTCTTGGTCCCTCAGGGCCCGGACCCCTACTTAGGAGGGTCCGGACCCCAACTTAGGAGGGTCCATGAGCGTCTGGGCACATGGGTTTTCACCATGGGAGGCTCCAACGGTCCGACGACTGAGGCTTGGGCGAGACCCTGCTGTTCCGTGAGGGCCGAACGAAAGGCCAGCGGCGGTCTGGGTGTTTCGTCTCGGTACATCGAGGGGTGGACGAAGAACAAAGTGTCAGTGGCAGGAAGCTGCCGAATGACCAAGATGAAGCAGCTAGCTGCAGAAGAACTGCAGCTGTCTTTCTGGACTAGCCCAAAGAAATCCAGCTAGCTCAGCGACCCAAAGCTTCACCGCAGTCCTCGCCCTGGCGCGGTCGTTTCACCGGGGCACCGGTCACCTCGCTTGACCCGGGACGGTTTTGACGACGTTCGGACGATGTGTAGGGAGCGGCTCGAGCGATCCCATCTTCTCTTGATAGGCTCTGCAACTGATGGGAACCAAAAGAAGCTCGAACCCAAAAGCTTCGTAAGCCATCCGATGAGTTTGAAGATGTAGGGATCAGCAGTTTGTTGACTTGACGACTGTAGGCCATCAGTCAGTTGAAACGATACTCTATGACGAACGGATTGGGATACTCAATGACTATGGTTTCGTGAACTGATCAGTAAACTAATTAGGATGCATCCGAATCCTGCAATTCGTTTGCATCCTTCAAGCTTCCCTATGACAGTCAGCCGCCGGAGCGCACTCTCAATTGATCGTGGTCTACTCGGAATAGGGGTTGATCTGTGTATCGAAAATTCGGCCATAGTCCGGCCATGTATAGTACGTACATATACTCAGATAGATTTGGGCGACCGGGTGATTTTTGGGTTAGTGTTTCCCTCTACCGGGAGGGTTGTAGAACTAACTCATTTTGCTCTCCCAACCTACTACTTATACATGAGAACCGCATCGCAAGGCTTGGGGAAGATTATCGAAGTCCTGGATGACGGCTACACGCCACCGTGGCTCGCTTCAAGAAGACCGGGAAGACTGTTTGAGACCGTCTACTGCGAAACTGGGATGGCCGAGCATGGTGAAGAGCGAGGCCGAGCGTGGACAGCCCACTTGAATTCAACTTTGGCAGTAAACCTACCAAGGATTTGGGGTTTGACCCACAGCCATTTCTTCAGTTGCATCCGTATGTCTCGCCAAGTCTGTGACCTGTCGATGTACAGCCCACCCTGCCTCTTTGGTAGATCGGCGATCCGGGTGAATTTTGAGCTGCCCAAAACTGGTTGTACGGGAGGCCGAGGTCCTGTATGTACATCCTTGTAAGATCTTGTAAGGAATCTCCTCAATCTTAGCATCGTCCGACCTATACGAAAAGATCGCCATGATTTGTCCATCCGGAGTCATTCTCCATTGATGGATTCGCTCCATCAACCACCACGACCGGATTTGGGTCACCCACTTGGGGGAAGGACTTTGACCAGCCCTGTTTGACCACAAACCTTTTGGTCGGTCCCCTGTCTTCTGCGTGTCTTAAGGACGAGGGAGACTGAGAAGTGAAGGGCCCTGCTTCTGTACAAAGCGCGCCGAGGAATGCGCCGAAGCCCTGTTGGAGCAAGACTTATTATATAGACAAGCTGAAGCACCCACAACGATACAGTGCAAGCCACGCAGGTCTTTTTGAGATGGTGAACAGCAGAACCGTGGCGTATGGTCACGCAGGCTCCCTTTGCCCAAAAGGCTCCCACATCCACCGGATCCGCATCCAGTGGCCTTTTGGACACATGAGCTTCCTCGGTCCCAGGCGAACCCAGACCGGTCAGGTCGGAGTTCTTTTGACGCACACTGCTAGCACATCCGATAAGGCACCAAGCACTGCTTTCAAGCAGACGGACGGTCACTGTTGGGCCACAGAACGGACCACCAAGCAAGTTCTATTCTTTTGCCTTTGTTGTTTGGGAGCATCAAGAGGCAGTGGGTGTAACTTAGATCTCTCACGACTTGGGATCTATGTGTCCTGCCATCCACATCTCCATGCTTATGATTTGGAAGCCGGGGAGACCCCAAACACATCGAAACACATTTCGCCATGTCTCGCAGATTGTCCGGAAAAAATAGAACAAAGTCAGACGTCATGGACAGAGTTGACGCGGGTGGGGGTGGGTTGTTAGGAGCAGGTCGGATTTAGATTCTCCCCGAGGCATCCATTTTGCAGATTTTTTTTTCTTTTTCATCAGCGCAGCCTGTGTGGCTTCAGAGGGTTTCGGCGCCGGCGGTGTTTTTTCGCTGGCCGTAGTTCGGAGTGTGGGGCTGGCGCTTCAGCCCGGCGCAGTCAGGTGTCGCCTTTCTTTCGCCCGAGAGGGTGATGTTGGAAGTTGGAAGCAAGCCAACCAGTGCCCAGCAGTTGAAGAACAGTTGCCAAACCATCCAGTTCAGCTGTTTTCGCACCTCATAATCTGCCGTTTCGACGATTCAATTCATACCTCAAGAACAGCTCCTTTGGGCTGTTCAACAAGAATCCGCACTGACTGCCCGGGTGTGCGACCTACACTCTTTAGTGGCCGCAGAAGATTCACAGGAGAGATTGGAATGAACCTTGACATCCGAAGACCATGTCCGGATGTTTCTTGACAATTGATCGAACATGGCCGTGGCAGATGGATGGATTACTCAGTATCAGTATGGTGTTTCCAACCCAACAGCCGTTTCTCAACCTAACAGGTAGTTTCTACTCTAACCAATGTCTCACTGATTTCTGCATTCATTTCGATCCTCTCGCACTCTGAATGTCTCATGGACTCCACAACAGTTCCGGATTCTCCCAAGCATGCCAATGCCGTAAACGAGGCTGGGTCAAAGCGTCACAGCGGCAGGCCTGGAATGGACCTGGTCCAATGGCACTCTACCCCTTCATCGAATCTGACCAGGTCATGCCCTGGTTGGAAATTCAACATCTCTCCGATGTGACCTTTAAATCCAATTCGCTGCCCGTGGCCGGGTCACGGGCCGAACAACGCTTCGTCGTCACTCGCGCGTGGAAGCGCGAGAAGAAAGCGCGCTTTTCAGGCCGTGGCAGGGGGGTGACATTCAACGAGACGAGGTATTCAACGAGAGAGATCTACCAGGGTGGTGAAGTTCGTCCCAGGTGGTGAGACGTCCACAGTTCACGCAGGCTCGCGATCAGGGTCTCCGGGGGGAGCTCCAAAATGAGCGAACAGTGAGAGAAGCTGAGAAGCGTTCGTCGCACAGACTTTGCACTAGACAGTTGAGACAATTCTTCCTCACTCATTCTAGTTATCGTTAGTTTTTTGGAACCTTGCTTGATTGAGGCTCATGATCAAGGCTTCTTTCAATCTCCATGCGTCCATGCGTAGTGGTGAAAGGCACAGGTTTTGGGCTCCTCACACTTCGGTCTGATGAAAACTGTTGTTGCTCCTGCCCTGGCTCAGTCAAAACGACACACCATGACCACGCAGTTCCGGGCAGCTCCAAGTCGAAATCGACCCGTAACAAGTCTGCCATCCCAAGTCTCCAAGACCACAAACCCAGCACCGGTCTGGAGCAAAGCCAACTGGACGGGGATACGAAAGGGGTTCTGCATGTCAGAAAAAGACATCAAGCGGGCGAACGAGTCACCGCCAACGAGTCACCGAGTCACATCACCGGCTTGTTTCGCGCCGCCCTCGTGCCGTGCGTCCGAAGGTGTGGTGCGGACGGGTGAGTTGGCGAGTGGGACTTTATCTAGTTCGGGACTGCCAGGTTTGGGCGGCTTCATTTTGAGATCATCAACACAAAATGCATACAATTTCTGACACATGGTCAAATGCTCGCATTTAAGACTCCGATGCTTAGTGCTTAGTCAATTATGAAGACACTTGTACTTGTTTATCGGGTTTTAACCTACAAGAGAACGTCGTGTGAATGATGATGAGTTTGTCATTGAGTCACACATGTTGCATGTGTTTGCAAGACTGGATGTTGCAATGATTGACCGAATGCTGGAGTCATTTAGTATATAGAAGGAACCACATCACGATATATGTGTGTATTGTATGAAAACATTGGGAGACCTGCAACCAATGGGTTTTGGATGGTTTTGGATGGTTGATCCATTCTTCCAGGACGGTGCCTGGGAGGCCTCCCAATCGCCGGTGAACCCGATAGCTCGGTGCGCCACAGGGGATGAAGGTGGTGCTCATTGGCGATAGCTCGGTGCGCGGAAAACGGTGGACACCGCGGTGGAACGCGGAACGGGCTGGGAAAGGACGGGGCGAGGGACAGGTTGGACAGGGGAGCAGAAGTGGTCAGAGAAAACGGAGGTGTTGGATGTTTGACTTGTGTTTGTTTTTTTTGATTGGATAGAGGAGGATGTATGCTTCATTCTCTTTTAAGATTGTGGGGAAATTGCACATCTCCTGCGGCAACGCATTTCTACAATGCATGTGGGTTGTTTCTACAGAAACTCGAGCTGAAACAGAAAGGTGCAAAGCAACCCAGTTTGTAGCCGCACCATGGGCTCTTGGAAGATCAGTGATTTGAAGAAGTGCCAAGTGATTTGCTCTCTTTTTTGCATCCATGCAGCTGCCGTTTGGATTGCGATTCATTTATTTTGTTAGATGCGGATAAAGACAAAGATAATAAAACTTCGAGATTCATTCCATCATAAATCCTTGATTCAAAATGATGCCGGCACGAAATGCAATGTGTGTAGAGGTGCGAACGCGTGCTCCTTAATTCCATTGAGCAGCCCACGTGGCGATTGCATCCTTGAGCAGCCCACTTCCTCCTTGATTCCCCTTCGACACCCTCCTTCCTCCAATGGCGGGCTCACGCGGACGCCTGGCGCGACGCCTTCTTGAGGTGCCAGGCAGTGGCATTCGTGAGGTCATGAGCCAGTCAGCCGCCTTGAAAGCGGCTGGAAAAGAGGTCATCAATTGGCACATCGGTCGTCCTGACTTCGACACCCCGAAGCACATCAAGGAGGCTTGTTCTGAGGCCCTGCGCCAGGGCCATGTGCACTATGCACCTGCCGCGGGGCTTGCGAGTCTGCGTGAAGCCATCGCCCAGCGTTCGGAAGAGGAGTATGGGTGCTCTGTGAACCCCGAGCGCGTGGTGGTGTGCAATGGTGGAATGGAAGCAGTGACGGTGGTTTTGCACTCGCTTCTGGAGGAGGGCGATGAGGTCATAGTGCCAACGCCCAACTGGCCGAACATGAAATGGGCGGTGGCGCTGGCCGGTGGCAAACCAATAGAGATCCCTGTGACTGAGGGTGTTTTAACCGCTGAGGCAATAGCTTCAGCCGTCACCCAGAAGACCAAGATTTTAGTGTTGTCAACGCCGGGGAATCCTCTGGGAAGTGTCACCGGCTTGGAAGAACTGCAGAAGATTGCTCAAGTGGCAAAGGAGAAGGACCTTCTTGTGATCAGTGATGAGACTTACACCAGGCTTTACTATGGTGAGGGATCCATTGCGCCATCCATCCTTTCGGTTGATGGCATGGAGCAACGCAGCTTTGCCCTACACACCTTCTCCAAGACCTATGCCATGGATGGCTGGCGCTTGGGTTGGGCCCTTTGCCCTGACACGACCATAGCGAGTGCCGTGGCAAAGACCAGATACTATTTCTCTGCCTGCTCGCCCACGTTTACTCAGTACGCGGGGGTCACTGCACTTACTTCCTCCCAGGAGTGCGTCGCTGCCATGTTGGCCGAATACGATGCGAGGCGACGAGTACTGGTGGAAGGATTAGCGAAGATTCCAGGTGTGAAGCTGCCGCTTCAGCCCCTGGGTGCGTATTATGTCTTCCCGGATCTCTCAGCCTTTGGGGGCGCTGATGGTTCCCTCGCGCGCTTCTTGTTGGAGGAGCACCACATTGCCCTGGTGGATGGAGGTGTGTTTGGCGAGGAAGGGCAGGGGCATGTGCGCATCGCCTACTCGTGCTCCACTGAGGAATGCCAGCGAGGCGTCGAGCGACTGGGTGCTGCCCTGGGCAGCTTGGGAGGACGATTCCTGGAATGAAGATCTGGAGAACAGACATCGATGGCTTGTTGTGGTCGAGCACTGCTGACCCCGGTGAGCAGAATGCTTTTGATCCACCAAGTTGCAGTGAGCAGACTTTGCGTGACCAAATCACTGAAGCATGTGCTGAAAAAAGCTCAAAAAGAAGATCCTCACACACCTGACGTTCCAGCAAGAAAAACAACGTTTTTATTTCTTCTCTTTGACTTGAATTCCCGGTGCCATTTGTGGGCCAGGTTGGCAAATCAGCCCTGGTCTATCGCTTCATTAACAACAAGTGCCTTGGGCTGGCATCGGATGTGCAAGTGATGGGAGTGTGTTTGCATGTCTTTTTCCTGCCTGGAACTTCGCCCGGCAATTGGGTACGCAGCTTGGTGAGACAGTCACCACGTGGGTGGAGGCAAGGCTTTGGGGCTTCGGTAGATGCTTCAGGCCTTTGACCGACCAATGAGCCAAACCGCAACGGCTTGGTTCCGCCAAGTCCCACTTGTATGGGATGCAGGCTTGGAGGCTCTCCACCCGCCCTCCAGCTAAAACATCCACCATATATATATATATATAGTTGGTCGATCCAAACCATTCTAATGGATACCAACTTCTTGAAAGATCGTCTGCCCATTCTGCTTCCCGCCCCGAAATCAAACCGTGGGAGATTGCTGTGCTGCAAGTAGCATTGCTGTGCTGCTGTGGGTGTTTGCTTGGGGGGGTTCCAATTTGGGCGAGTTCCAATAGCTTCAGGCTGCGCACTTGTGAGCTGCTTGACCAGATTGGCGCAGCCCACACCCCATGCAGTTGAGATTTACATGATGGAATGCACAGTCGTTCTCCTGTGGTTCCCTGGAATCCTGCAAATTAAACAACCTCATGTCAGAGGTGTATTTTACTCTTCTACGTGACATAGATTGGATACTCCCCCTGGGATCACCTTCACATCCTGCCCTCCATGATGGGTCGTGACATGGACGCACACGGTTCAACGCTCCCGCTGTTCAACGCTCCCGCTGTCTTCGGTCGTGCCCTGGTCGGTCCGGCGGTCTCGAGCACGAAGCAGGTTGCTGTCAGATCCCAAAGCCACGGTGGGCATCTCTTTCTTCAAGCAGCCTGGGCAGCCCAGACCTAGACATGAAGGCGTCCAGCCTGAAACGGGTTCTTGAATGAGAACTGGACGGAATGGGCGATTTAATAAGGAATCAATATGTATGAAGAACATCCAAGTTGCGAAGCAACTGTTGACTGATCGGTTCTGTTTTTTCAGTGCTTGAGATTTCACTTCGCTGATCCAGCCACTCTTCCGCTTGACTTCTGGACTTCACCGTGTCTGCAATCCCATCCGTGCCTTTCGGACGCATCGTGCGGTGTTTCTCGGGTGTTCCAGACAGTTTCATCTGGTCGGTACATCTGACTGGACGATCTGGAAAGCTCCCCGTTGATCACATTCCTTTCGCCCTGATTTCGCAAGCTTGGTTCCCTTTAAGGTGCGACGGGCGGGCGGGCGGGCTTTTTGGTCCCCTTTTAGGGCGTCTCTAAGCTTTGATGGGAGATCAGGTCTTTGCACCGAGAGCCTGCTATGAGCCCTCCAAAAAGAGAAAACACCGAACAGGTCCAGGCTGTTCAGGCTGTTCTTTCTTTCTTCCTCTTTTTTTTTGGGCCCAAAAAAGGGGGAAAGTGGTGTCTGAAAAAGAAACCACGGCGAGTCAGCTCGACTGCTCTCTGCTCGGACCACTCGGACCACTGATCCGATCCGGTCGCTCCCGTGTGAGCTCCCGTCAGTGGGTGGATCCGACCACCGTGGTGCGGATGGTGGCTGAGGTCATTGTGGGACCCGCAGATGAACCAGCAGTACCCCATGCAGATTTGGGCCAGGTGCCCTCAGAGTGCTGCTTTTGGGCGTGCGGCGAAGGCGTCGAACCGCGCCTCAAAGTGAGTGCTGACGCGACAGAGGTTCAAAGACTTTGGGTTCATTGATGGCATGGCCAAACGTTTAAGGAACAACGAGAAGAGCATTCAATGGATGAGTCATCATGATCGTGGTGGATCATAGTTATATATAGATCATCAATGGTAGGTCAGAGAATCTCTTAGGTCATGGAGATGATCACAATGTAAACTCTTGATTAATGAGCCTCCCTACATTGTGCACAGAAGGTTGCTCGAAACACTTGTCAACGTGGGAGTTCCCGCTATGATGTGGTGTTTTTCTTGGTCGTCTTCACTTCACGTGGTTTCTTTTGCTGCTGATGAACCAAGTTTGTTCACAGTGGCGTTTCAAGACCTCCCACAAGGGGTGCGTGCGGCGGATCTTGAAGCGAGGGAGGTAGAAGAAGTTTTTCAATTCAACTGGGCAGGTTTATTTGTCAAGAGTCTACGTCACATTTTGCCCAAAGAAGGGTCCTTCTGATTGCTCTGTCAATGACTCCCCATGGATTGGCTGTGGACAAAAGACAGATTATATAGTTTGACATACCTTCCATACATACCACTTAAACACAACAGGGTAGATATGTACCACTTTAGAGTAGGGCCATCCCAAAACAGATAGGCTTGACGTCCACTACAATGTCAAAGGATCGTTTGCTTTTTCTATCTTGAGATCACTAAAGTCACTAACAGGAAAAACATGGAAAAACCACTGTGCCCCAGAATCGTGCTTCGTCGCTCCCCTCGTGGACTGCCTGCCGATTGGTCGGCTCCTCGCACGTCAAAACCGCAAAAACCGATGCCCAAGGATACTGCTGGACAAGAGAAGTTCCAATCTGTCACCACGCAGCCCGTGGCCTCGGTGGTTTCACCACCGACAGTGACCGAGCGTCGCGCCGAGCGTCGCGGGTCTTGGGGGCACTGAGCCGAACGAGCGCCGAACGGTTCGAACGAACGGTGGAGGGTGGGAGAGGTGGAGCCAGTGTGCCCCAAACGTTTTGCCGAAAGGTTGTGGACCACCGAAAGAAAGGACCACTTGCTGGGGAGGTTGTTGAAAGCATTGAAAGGTTGTTTATGGGGCGAATCAACACCATCAACCATGGGCCCGGCAGATCCGTGTTGCTCCACTAAGCCACTACCGTGCGGCCGACGGAGCGTTGCTGGTCTTCGACATCGCCAACGAGTGCGGACGCCCGGGGTCGGACAGCGGCGGTGGACACACCGCACCGAGACGGGGGGAGTGCATGGACCGGGTCGACCACCACTCGTTTCGCCGGTGAAAAGCCTGTTTCACCCCAAATAGATTGAACAGACCTATAGACTCTTGATTAATAAACCCCCCTTTGAAGGGCGAGGGAGTCGCTTCGGAACGCAGAAAGTAGTTCGCTTCGGAACGCGGGAACGGTATCGCTTCGGAACGCGTGTCAGAGCTAGTAGGTTGGAGGCCATCGCTACGACTAGTCTGCACTGTCTGGTTGCTAACTGCAACCCACCCCACCCCATCCCCCCCACCCCACCCCATCCTTCATCCTTAAACCCTCCCCATCTGTGTCTGTGTGTGTGTTCTAAAGTGAACCAAAAAATCAGGTGCGTTGTGTTCCAAAGTGATCTCGCTTTTTGCTAACCCTTCCATGTTTTTGTGTGTTTTGTGTTCCAAAGTGAAACATGTTTTGTGTTCCAAAGCGAACCAAAACCCTGTGTTCCAAAGTGAACTAAAACTTGTGTTCTGAAGTGACCCCGCTTCCCCTTTGAAGAGGATGTCCAATTCACATGGTGGAGTGTATTAATCAAGCGTCTACATTAGTCTATTCAGTTTCATGTTTGGTGGTCTGTCCGGGGTGTCCCGGGTTGACCGACCCAAGACAAAGGCTCCTTTGAGCGAACTGTGCCTGGGCTCTGGCGGCATGACTGATGTACGAAGATCCAACAAGAAGCGATTCTATGCATTTTCTTTTGGATGAACCGACCTAGAGTTTCCTGAAGAGCAGGCCCCACTGCAGGGGGATCTCTGGTGTTTGAAGTGCCGATGGGAGGGAAAATGCCGGAGCAAGAAGGGCTATAGCATGAGACTCTCCCGATCCATTGCCCCTCAAAAGGGGGAGGAAGTGCGGTTTTTTTCTAAAGACGACCCCTCGGCTGCCCAACATGCGCGTGGGGCTTGGATCTTGCACCTCGGTGTTCAGGATGTATGATACCGTTTACTACAAAATGCCCGGAGTTCACCACCTGCAAAGGACCGTGGACTCACTGAGTTGATCTACCTTTTTCTGTATCCAGCATTGTTGCAATCCTTTAAGGCCAATGAATCGTAAGGTTGTGACTGTAGTCATCGACATCTGGATAGCCCAGAGCAGCCCCCCGGAAAATCAAGGTACTGTAGATCCATGCACCCAGGAGAACATTGAAACTTGCACAACCCCCAGACATGGCCGTGCTTTCCCCCCTCCCACCTGACCTTACAGATGGCCGTGCCGTTGGGAGCCTCTCCGGCATCAATCTCTGATCCCTCCGTTCGGTTCAGGCGATCCTTCCAGAACCTCGACAAGTGGCTGACGGAGCTGCGAGAAAACACGGACCCAAGTGCCGCTGGGCCGCCACTGTGGGGCGGAGGGGCGAGGAGGCGAAGTGCGACCGCGTAGCGTGAGCGAAGGCGAAGTGCCGATCTATGGTATTCAGGGCTTGATGGAGGACTTGGTGATTCTCCCCCACCAGTATGAACTTTTCTTTTCTGCTGTATTCTTTAGGAGGCCTTTTGGCAACCAAGCTTACTGACGGTTTCCAAATGGGAAAAACACCCATTGCCACCAGAGACTTACGACAGATCCAAGAAGCTCCAAGAAGCTCTCACGGATGATCCGAAGAGGTTAGGCCAATTGGGCCACTGTTTGGAAAGGTGTTTCGTATTCCTTTTTTAGGGGGCACCAGCCCGCTGCTGAGAAATAGGTATATACATACTTTATAGTAGTAACAACACGCATCAACACCCCATACATCACCAAAAGAAACAACATAAAAGAACATCACTGACAGCCTTACCGACACCACCTTGGGATTTGCTTTGGAAAGTCGAATGCTTCGCTGTTTCCGTTCGAGGTGGTCGTGGCGCTAGCGGGGCTGCCCAGCAGAAAACTGTTGGCTCGGTGAAGTTGGGTGGGGAAGTTTGTTGCTAGTAGCGTCCTTGTTCCTAGTAGTATATAACTAGTAGCGTCCTTGCTCCTAGTGGGGATGCCCTTTGTTCCTAATAGCTTCTTGTTACTAGTAGTAAGGCCAGGAGCTACTAGTAGCATCCTTGCTCATAGTAGCGATGCCTTGTTACTAGTAGCTTCTCCCTATGTGCCAGGCTGGTTAAGGCTGGTTAACTTCTGATTCTCGGTGCAGAACTCATGTCAGATGGCAAAAAGCGAACAAGAAGGATCCTGTGTTTAATGGTTTTTAATTAGCAAGGACACTAAATATTTGGATTGTCTTTTGGATGGTTGTTCATGAACAGCAAGGTCACCCCATCTGGTGCACCTTACAGTCGCAACATCAAGACCTCAACGCGCATCACCACCGGGCAGCAAACATGTGGTTCGTAGATGGACACCATCTGGCACCACATGTTTGCGCCATGGAAGCACTCTGTTTGCGCCGTGGAAGCACTCTGTGTGCCTCAAAAGGGACCCTGGTCGACCGGGTGCTGTGAGCCGGCGACGGAATTCGCCGGCATGCGGTATGAATTCTAATTCAATTCTAATAGCAAACATTGTTACTACTAGTAAGGCACTTGTTACTAGAAGCGATGCACTTGTTCCTAGTAGCTTATTGTCCCTATATCGAAGAATGAACCAGGAACGATTCGATCCGGTGAAACTGGCTTTTCTGACCTGGGGAGTTGCGACTTTATGGACGGTTTCGCGTAGCCGAGGAGGGGTTTCTCTTCCATGAAAGCAAGCCTTTAACATCGAAAGTGAACAAGTTGTTCATGGATTGCACTGAATTGGTTCATTTTTGGGTGTAAAAGCGATTCGAGTTGGAGAAAAAAGAAAGGAGGTCTAACTACCGTCCAACCGTCTAACCGACATTGAGTGACTCATGAGTATATAGAAGCTATTTCTGGGAACTGCTCACTCCTTTTCTATCCCAAAATCGGTTTTGGGATCATCCTGTAGGGCTATGGCGCCCGTCACTCGAGTGGCGGGTCTGTGACTGAGGCTATAAGGCTGTGAGGAACGAAAAACCGCTTCAACCAAGCCCATGGGTTCGGACGGTTTCGGTGGACATCCCTTACATAGAGGAATTTGATGGAATTTGTTCATTTTCCGTGGTCAACCAGATCACCCAAAGTCATGTTTTTGGTGTCACTTTTTCGCTGTTCGATCAGCTAGCAGAACCGGACCTAGTGAAAGGGGTTCGGGTGGCCACTGTTTGGCCGCCAGGTCAACCGTTTAGTGTGGTACAGGAATGTGGACTAATTGATCCATTTCAGAAGAAACACCTTCTCAGAATGGTGTTACGTCGGGATTGATTCATCAACGCAACAAGCTCCAGGGCCTCACAACTCATCGGCTCCGGAAGCACGCGCCACAGGTGGGCACCAAGACGGACCTCGCGTCTCAGCGACAAGTGGCCACGGAGAGGGCTCAAAGTGCGGGGGCCGAGCGGGGATCCAAGGGCCATGAGAACGCTTGCTGAGATGGTTGCTGCGATGGTCTTGCTTTCTTGGTCTGACCTTCCAAATCTTATGAACATGCTCGTGAAACACGGGGCTTCAATCCTATTAAGGGCATGGAAGACTGTAAAGGTTGACAGAGTTTTGCGCAGGTGTACCAGGTGTACCATCATTCGTTTGCTCTTCTGAAGACTTTCTCCTGCCTGGAGAAATTAGACATCTCTGCTTCGCTTTAGCCGCGACGCCTGGTGCCTCGGATCTTGGACCCACATGGAGGGAACTGGAAGTGAACCCATTGGCCCATGGGGTGAATTGGGTTGGTGGGTTCCGTCGATTTTTGGAGTGTACCTCCTTGAGAGAACAACTTGAAACATCACCATCTATGACCATAGGAGTGACCATTGCATCACCTGAAGCTGGTTGAGACGCCCCCCGGGACCATCAAGGCCGCTCTTCTCCCGCCCGGACCGGGACCGGGACCGGGACCGGGGTCCGTGCGCCGGGTGAGGCTACGCCAGAAGCAATGGGCTTCTCTACGTGGAGCGGGGCGGGGCGGTTGAGCCTTTGGAGTCCGAGAATGTGAGAATTTCATAGGTCCAAGTGGCGAAAGGTATTATCTTCTCTACTCTACTCTAGTCTAGTCTACTCTACTCTACTCTACTCTACGCTAGTCTAGTCTAGTCTACTCTACTCTTGATGGCTCTTGAGTCATTGATTTTGTGGGGGGTTGATGTGACTCTTGATGATCTTTCAAGGCCCCCGCAGGCTTTCAGAGGCCTTGGAATCCATGTCTGTTTTTTTTTTCATCAAGATTCTGCACTAAGCGACATTTGTTGTGAGTTGATGACACTTCCAGTCTTTATACAAGTACTTGAGTGCCATTCCTTGTTTTGGGCTCGGTCTGGAAAGCCAGGCTTGTCGAAAAACTCGCCCCAGTCCGTGGTGTGACCTGGAAGACTCAGCTGGACGCCCGCCCCACTGACCCCGCTCTTCAGGGCAATCGACCGTTGAGGCCCACCGGTTCGAAGCATAGGCAACTGATGTCCTTCATGCACAGCCGATAGTTCCTGTAAAACGGTAAACTATACTGGGAACATTAAGTTCTGGAAGATCAGTCTTGTTGGGCATTGATCACCAGTGATACCTTATACAAACTGATAGATCAGATAGTAAACGGCCAGGAGTCTAGCCAACTTTGTGAGCCCTTCGAGAAAGTTTCCTAGCGCGAAGATGCTGATGTCCACATCCTCCAAGTACCACGATGAATGTGAAACAAGATACCTGCAAACTATTAATTTAGGTTTATGCTTTTCTTTAGGACCATTCCCAGATCGCAACTGCTCGCCTGGAATCCTGTTACTCCCTCAGCCACAACCTGGTGGCATCGCATTGCACATGCTTTTGCCTGGCTTCTCGGGGTTTCACCCCTTGTGGCTATAGGTGGAGGTGTCATTTTGGTGGCCCAAGAGGGATGCGACGGTCGGTCGCACAACCCAGTTGTTCTGAAAGGACCCTTTGAAACGAAGCAGATCTCCCCACTCCATCCCGATCGGCTCGCTCTGTCTCGAGAGTTCGACTTCAGGAGACCTCGGCATACTGGAACAAGTTTGAAGGCGGAGATAAGGACAGAGCATGTCAAACAGATCGCACGATGATGAAAAACAGGTCATCTTGAGGGCATCAGGGATCCTTCATGCAACTTTTCCACACTGAGCAGTGGTATTTAGACACTCCCATGCCATTATTGTATGTTATTGTGGCACTGGTCCTAGAAAAAAACTTGACCCTACTTGGATCATCGTTGGTGGTTCCTGTGGGTTCGTTTGAATCTTTCTTTATGTTCAGATTAAGCACTAATGATTCCTTTGTTGGTGTTGGGACTAAAATGAGGCTAGCTATATAATATTTGTTGAACATAAGAACACACACTCTGACATTGGTATTCAGTGAACTCAGTTCCCACGTTGAGAAGGAAGGTGAGGGAACGGCAAGGTGGCAAAGTCCGCTGAAAAGTATTGTTCAACATTGTTCACACAGGCACTCATGCGTTCAAAGCGGCTGCAAGACGATCAAACCGGCAGCGCAGCTGCTGGGGAAGAGTAGGTTTGGGGGAAGTATCATGAACCACCATGGAATCAAAAAAGGAGATTGGACAGCTTTTGCAAAAGTTGGTTGCAGGTACACACCGAGACGTCTCTCAGTGCTTCCCATCTCGCTGCCTAGCTTTGTTAGACCAGGTTAGCAGCGAGATGCCTGGTCCCCCTGCCTTATGGAGTAGTGGTGGTGGAAACAGTGGCATTGAACCCTTTGGTAGAGCGGGTGACACACACACTGTGCCGCTTCGCGGCGCTCATGTGACACACCTCAATAGTCACCTAAAAAGCCTTAGAAACAAAAGAAAAGAAAGACAGAAAGAGCAGCGCTAAGAGGGCAAGAAGGAAAGGTAGGTGTAGAAAAAGTGAATACTTAGCCCTTGACTGGGGTAGGGAAACGAGCCTCAAGAGCAACCTAAAAAGCCTGAGAGAAAGCCCAACAAACGACGAAAAGCGCAAGAAGGAAAGCCGGGGGCAGGGAGGGGGTGTATGTTCATGTGTGTGTCTGAATACCTAGCACTCTAGAGTTACTGATTACTTGGCAGAAATGAATTAAATGCAATAGTTAGGGAGCGGGACTTTAGTCTTAGACCGCCCGGGTAGGATAGACTAGAACAGGGACAACAAAGGGAAAGGCACCGACACACAAGTGTGTCGAGTGCCATTTCCCTGTGTTACCCTAATTAGGTCGGGATAAGAACGCGGTGGGGGGGGGGGGTTGGGAGACCTGCCTGAAGGGGGATGAATGCCGTTTTTAAGCCCGGCGGCTTGTCAAATCCCGTTTTTTGGCCCGGCGGCCGTGGAAGCAGGAAATTCAGTTAAGGTTGAGCCAGTGGTGAATTCCGGTGAAGGTGGAAAAGCTCAGTTACACGATTTCCGGCATGAATTCCGCGCCCCAGTGACGGGGATCACACTCAGCACCCGAGTGGGACGGCTGAGCGAAACACACTCTGACATTGGTATTCAGTGAACTCAGTTCCCACGTTGAGAAGGAAGGTGAGGGAACGGCAAGGTGGCAAAGTCCGCTGAAAAGTATTGTTCAACATTGTTCACACAGGCACTCATGCGTTCAAAGCGGCTGCAAGACGATCAAACCGGCGGCTAGGTTTGGGGGAAGTATCATGAACCACCATGGAAACAAAAAAGGAGATTGGACAGCTTTTGCAAAAGTTGGTCGCAGGTACACACCGAGACGTCTCTCAGTGCTTCCCATCTCGCTGCCTAGCTTTGTTAGACCAGGTTAGCAGCGAGATGCCTGGTCCCCCTGCCTTATGGAGTAGTGGTGGTGGAAACAGTGGCATTGAACCCTTTGGTGCAGGGGGTGACACACACACATGTCACATGTTGATGTTCCCTCGATCTTTTTTCGGCTTTGCACTGTCACAGCTGGTGCTCAGCCATCTACATCTGGATCCTACTCAGCTGGTTGAGGAAGCACATGAAGAGCACGGCTTAAGCTTGGCATCACGAGACGAGAAGTTTCTGACGTTGAGGAATGTATCGCCCAAGTTGACTCGAAGAGTGCGAATGGGCGAATGGAATCATGCTGTTGCTGTCCGCAAGACGATGTCAGATGCAACAGCAGAGCACCAAAGTCAACTGCAAAACGGGGAGATAGCAGAGCTGCGGATGGAGCTGAAGAGGGAGATCAAGCTGCGGATGGAGCGCAGGGAACCCGTATTGAAAAAACTTTGCGATGAGGTTTGCTGCTGATTTGAAAGCTTGCCTTCCAAGCTTGGAATCGGCCTCAACTGAGCTAGTAGTTCAACGTGCCTATCAAGAGATGTGCGCGGAGTAACAAGTGCATCGCTACCTTCGTAACAAGGGCATTACTACTAGTAACAAGAAGCTACGTTCGTAGCGATGCCCTGTACTAGCGGTGCACATGCCTGGCCAAGCACTACAGTAGTTGAGGGTGTTTTGCGTCCTAGCTCGACCAATGCGCCTTCGTTCTTCGCACAGGACTTGGCGGTGGGTGTGGAGCAGATTTTTCTGCGGCTCCTTCGAGGCGACCGGGACCGGACCGGGACCGGACCGGGACCGGGCGACGGGTATGGCGTTCCGTAATAGGTGCCGGTCCGACCGGCAGGCGACCACGGCGTGGGATGGGTGGGATTCGTTGACGATGTTTCCCGGTTTTTGTGGTAAATTTCTATAGGGAGACCCCTGTCTCCACGGACCATGGGATGTTCTTGTTTTTTGGGTGTCAGGTGTTTCGGCGAAGAGAAACTCATGAAAAACCGACGAGTCTCCGAGTCTCCAAAGGAAGAAGACGACACGCTGGATTCGAGAAAGGAGTTGTCCAGAACACCGTTACCCAAAAAGAATTGACACGAGAAATACTGACAAATCTGGGACTCTGGATTTTGTCAATGATTCTTTGGTTGTTTCTGTGGAGCTGAGCTCTTTTTGTTCTTCTTTTGCTCCAAAACATGACGTGTTTTTTCACCTTGACTTGTCAGAAGTGCTCCGGTCACATGTGATGCGTGCTCACGGGGCCCATGCTCGTGTGCTCGTGCGGTGACTCCGACCCGGGCCCGAGCATCGCTCCACTCCTTGGGCCCGAGCGAGTTCGACTCCGGTCCAAGCTGGGCTTCGGGCAACCGTGGTTCGGAAGCCCCTTCCGTGGTTTTCGTAAGCCTGCAGCCGTCAAACGGCTGCATTCACTAGACGATCGACCTGTTTGTTTTGACCTCAAGAACGGTTTCAAGTGTTACTTTGCAGTAGCGGTTGGCATGGAGATCTAACATGCATTTTGGGCAATTTGCGTCGTACATGCTTCACCTAAATTCGCTAGGCTGTTGGAACTCCCTTCTTCACGGTGGGCACAGCCCTGAAAAGATAACAAGCGTGTGACCCTCGGTTGCAACGGGAAATCAGCAGCATCTCACCAAACATTCGGTTGCACGCCCTAGCTACACTTTCGTGTACTTGCACTTGGTCTATCCACCGGGATGTTATGGAGTGGGAAGATCCATATCATGCCACCTACCACTCCTTCCGTGGGCCGGGCCCAGTCTAGCCACTCCTTCCAGGCATTCTGCAGAAGCAGAAGGAGCTGGGCCGAAATCCAGCCCGGCTCGATATGTCCGGTTATCCCGAGGTGCGCGCCAGACGCGCGGCGTCTCGCGGCGGTGACGGCTTCCGGAGCCCGGCGGTCACGCACGGTGTCACCCAAGCAGCTGGATCGGTCATCGGGACGCTCCGTTGGGTGGCAACCACTCCGTTCAAAGCACTCTGGTTCCTCCCATCTGATGACGAGTTTCCTCGTTCCCATGTGCCTGGCGTGGGCCCGCAAAGAATGGCCCCAAGCTCTCCAAGCTCCTGTTCAGCATATCATGTCTCTATTTGACTGGAGACTTCACATGAGAACATGCAAATCGGTCCCTCAATCAACTAGTAACTAGTAGAACATCGATGCAGTGGATCTAATTTTGTGATGGGATCTTTTTGGAGGACCCACTCTCCGATTCCTACAGCCGTGTTCTTCTTTGAATTCCTTTGTCCTCTGGCACACTGCTCATAGGATGTCCCTTCAAAAGGTTCATTTGCCCCAAACAAAGGGCGCAGCGACTCGACCGTCCCCACACCCGTGGCAACGTGCTTCAGGCGATCAATCTTGAAGAGGAAGGTGCGGGTCCCGGTGGGGTGAAGGAACGAGACATTCGAAACGGTGCAGTGAATACATGTGCAGTGTATACCCATTCAAGTGAAGTCCATAGAATGCAGGTGATGTTCTATTCCATATGATTCAATCTTAGGTCTGAAACATCCAGAGTACCATCATGAACTTGGCATCGTCCATTTGGTTGCAATGAGCAGCACAGCCTGGGCCAGTTTTCGGGGCTTGGCTGGCAAATCACTGGAGATCTTGGGTTTGCAGTTCAGTTTCAACGCCTCTCAAGGACTCCACCCAAAGATGAGTGTGCTTTGTACAGTTGAGAGGTACGTTGTGCGATTCCAATGGCCTTTTCAGTGGCGAAACGGGGGGGGGGGGGGAACCTCCCAACCTCCCAGCAGATGTCTGACTGGGAGTCTCCTTTTTGGCTCCGTGTCCAGGCCGCCCACAAAATGAATGTGCATGCTAGTGCTGGGCTCAGGCGTGATTTGGACGGATCAACCGAGTGAGTGGACAGACCTCCTGGTCGGTGTGCAGCTAAAACGAGTTCATCTCGCATCCACCACGGCAACGACCGGCTCGGGCGTTTCGCCACAGAGAAGTGCCACCATGGGGGAAGCACCAGAGGTACCACTTGAAAGCATCTTCAATGATGTCTTTTGGTTCTCTTCTCCAGGGTACAATCTGAATGCTTGGTTTGTTGTGGTCTCCGAGTCCGCCCGACCTGAGGCTCTCCGGCCGCGCCGATTTGTGACCCGAAGCCGAACGACAAAGAGGGCAGAGTCGGGCAGAGCGGCAGAATCGAGGTTCGAAGGAGGCCCTGGAGGGTACACTCCCCAAATTGCCGAACAACCAAGAGGCGTATGCTGCCAAACTGACCCCTCACCCCTCTTCCCCGAAAAGATCTCAATTGCCCTGCTGTGCCCTGCTCCGCTCCAGTCACTGTCTGGAGTCTAGACGACAAGAGGAGGTTCCGAACTGCTCCAGAGACCAGGTCTCTGGTTAAACCTCATAGGGACCTCGGAGAGCTTTCAAGCCCTTGAAGCATTCTTCTAGGTGCTTAGCCTGGAGGCCATCGCTCTTAGGGTGGAGGCTATCGCTACTAGGGTGCCTGGTCACTTCCTCTGAGATAGAACCCGCGTTTCTCAACACTCCAGTGCAAGTTGTGGCCGTGGTGGTGGCGGCAGCGGCGGTGGCGGTGGTGGCGGCTTGTGGTTTCCTCTGAGTCCTCAGATCGTTCGTTCACCCCCCCGCTGGGAAAAGCTGTTCCAAAGGTCATCAAAAACGAGTCATTTGGAACGAGAGTTTGAACAAGGAGGGACTATTCAGCAGGGAGGGACTATTCAGCGATGCATTTGACTGGTCATTTCTGAAGCTGCGATGTCAACCACCGGACCTTTGGCTCAAGCGGCGGCCTGCGGGGAAACGACCCGCGGGTACGTGCGGGACGGCCACGCCACGCGCGAGACGCGTCGAACACTGGTGGGTTTTCTCCAGGGCCACGGGGTCTTCCGCCAGCCTTGGCGGATGAACTATAGCCATGACACTGAGATGGCGGATCTGGCATACTTGGAAATGGACCATTGGACGATGGATTTGTGAAACGGAAAGATGATGTTCCGGGGATGGCTGAAGAGACTGGACTACAGTTTGTGCCACTTGCCGTTTTTTGGAGCAGAGCATCGTACGGCCAGGAGCCCCTAGTAGCTTCTTGTTCCTAGTAGCGATGCCGGGAGCTCCTAGTAGCGTCCTTGCTACTAGTAGCGATGCCCTTTGCTCCTAGTAGCTTCTTGCTCCTATCCTACAGTCTATTTGCTCAAACAATCTCGCATTAGACGGATCTAAAAACAACAGGTACTTTCTCCGTTCGTGTGCAACCAAGTTCCAACGCCACACTAGCCGCAGCCCGCCGCTTCCTCCGCCCAGTACCCAATAGCCGAGTCTAGCCGCTAGCCGAGTCACACCAGTTTGTGCCGGTGCGTGTGTGATGCATTTTTGTTGGGTTTTGGTCTATATACTCATCCTTTCAGGAGGTGGAAGTGTGTCTCACTATTCTAAGACCCCTCTAGAGTGTGAGCAGTCGGTAACATAGGATCACCATTTTTTTCGAAAGGCCGTATTACAGTAACATTCACGGTCACTGTTGCACTGTTGCTGGTAATAGACTTAGTATAATGATGATTATATCAACAATAAATCAATTAGGACTATACGAACATTGGGAAAAACCATGTTCCCTGCCTTAGGGTAATTAACCCGGGTGACTACTGAGCCATGGATTAATTTTCTTGGATTTTTTTTTGATGGTAGGATTTTGGTCATGAATCTCGTACAACCATTCTGGAAATTAATCCTACTATCAGATTTGTAGGTTGAGAGTACCGTGGATGAATTTTGATACGTGGAGGTGTGAGGAATATTTATCATGAGGTGATGCAGAAGTGGAGCCACCCCTGGATTATTTTCTGAGAGTGCTCAAATGAAGCCTTGCTATGACCATTACACAAGAAACAACACTAAAAACAAATACATAGAAAGTAGCCAGCCGGTCAAATGCCTGATGTATACTTAGAAGAAGGAAATCTATAGTGAGTGTGTATTCCGGCACTTACTGTATTGGGAATTTGTTACTGTATTGCAGCGCCTTGAGACCTAGAAAATTAATCGAGACCTCTGCAAGTGCTGTGAGCTCAGATATGTAGAGTACTTGGGGTACCCCTGGATTAATTCCACCCCCCCCAACCTAAAAATTAAACCCGACTCAACATCCTCCAGATTAATTTTCTGAAAACACTCTGGAGGTAGTCAGATGAATTGTTTAAATTAATCCAGGCGGGCCCCCCCTCTACTCTCCATCTTGGAAGGGTACATGAAAAAACCATCTTGTAATTCTGCTTATGGCATGATTAATACCCATGCATTTCTTTGAAAGTCACCGCTGTGCATCTCCCAGACACCGAGACCGCCACTTGCACGGCGGCACGGCGGGAACGCCGGCCGGCCGGGTCGCCAGGACCGCGAGTGGGCGGCGGATCAGCTGCGCCGGAGGTGCGGACGGGAGTCGGTCGGTTCAGAGCAGCTAAGTGGAGCTCAGACCTGGTGTTGTCTGGACCTGGTGTCGTCTGGAGGGACTGGTTTGATGTGGAGAATTCGTGGTGTTGAAGCGAAACTCCAGATTTAGTTGCTTCCTACAGGCCGTCTTCTGTTTCGGCTCATTCTCCTCAACCGACCGACGGCGTCGACCGGTCCCCTGTGACCGGTCGGTTCGCCGCTTCGGCCCAGGAAGAATCTGGGCTCCGGTCTGCCGGACATGCCCATCCGCCGGGCCACGGCCGCGCTGCCGCAGGCGCCGCTTTTTCGGGCGGGCGGGCCAGGCTTTCGGAGGGGGGTCATTGGTTTGGCAGCATGGAGGCTACTTGTTGGGTCGGTCTCACAGTGTTTTGGAGGGAATATTGGTACGCACCAAGCCCCGTTGGGTGCACCATACGGCGAAGGGGTGGTCTGGGACGAGGGAAGCGGTACAGCAGTGGGAGCGAACCTCCTGCATCCCTGTGTCGACGCCTGCGCTGTGTTTGAGCCCAACAGTAAGACTTGGTGGTTCCTGTTGATCTTTGCGGGGTGGCATCATTTGCTCCCTGACACCCGTATCATCAGTTTGGAAGCTTCTGCACCAATAGTATTTTGTTGTAAGAACAGAGAAAACATGGGTGTTCAGGATTTGAAGATCATCATGCTTTGCGGCCAAAGGCATCACCTTATTATGTGGGCTTATGTTGTGCATCCCAAGTTGCAAAACTTCTGGCTTCACAGGAGCGTGGCCGTGAGTGATGAAAAGGGTACCTTTACTTATAAGAAATCAAGCTGGTGCAGGCTCTTGGCTTAGAATCTCCCATCTACAGTACCCCCCCCAAGTATGCCACTAACATCAACTTGGGTGATGTTGATGGATGTAAATGGGTTCCTACCGCACACTTCCACATGTCCCATTGGACCTATATAACCATGTTGCAAGAACAGCAACTCGAAGGCCATCGACCGCCCACGGTTCTCGAGGTGGCTGTAGCTGCGGTGCAGGGCGGCTTAATTAGCGCCGGCCCGGGCGAGGCCACTGTAGGCGCCCAGCGCTCGCCGTGCGCCGTGCGCGGGGGAAAAGGCTTTGGGGCTCGGAGTTCGTTCTTACAGGTTTGGAGTTCGTTCTCCCCGCAGTAGCTGGATGTAGATGGACCATCCAATTCCAGTTTGAATACCTTTTGGATCCTTTTGGACTGCTTGGTTCTAAACATCCTTAGAAGGAAACTTATGTGCTTGTTTAAGAAAGGGTTCTGTTGAAAGTGGAAGTCAGATCGGTGGTTTGAGCAGATCCTAGCTGTATTTCTATGTTGGAAAGACGCATCTTATTCTTGTTTACTTTGAAAAGATCGCCCAGGCAAAGTCGCTTCACCACAGGCCTTCAGCCAGCTGTTGGTTGTAGACCCCAGGGTCCCAGCCTCCTATTGATTCACCTTTTTGGAGGCCCAGCTTTGGTTGAACATCTTTTTTGCTTTGGTGGCCCAGTATGGCCCTACATTGCAGGTCGTAGGTCGAAGGGTGTTTTCATCCACCAGAATCCTAACGGATGTTTCGGTAACAGCAGGGCCTTTTTTCACCTCGAACCAGAAACAAGCACTGCAAGAGGCGATGGGATCTGGAGAACAAATGCTGTCTTTGGCAGAACATAGGTCCAAGATCTCTCCAGGCAGTGCTTTGTCGGCCTTGACGATCAATGCTGGCAGCGCGGAGCATGTGCAGCGCATTTGCCATGGGTGTGGGGACCTGTGAACAAAGGGGGGCTGGGCCGGGTCTCACCCGGCTGAAACCCCTGGGTCCGAGCATTTGAGGATCTACACCCGGGAAGAGACCCACATGGAACCTGATGGCATGGACCTGTTGGAAGACGACTTTCCTCTACAAAACGAGTGGTTTTCAAGTACAACTCACAACTCACAACTCCTACTACAACCAGCGGTTTTGAGTTGTGAGTTGTTGTAGTTGTAGTTGTTCATGTGGGTCTCTTTCCCTTTGTGTACATGAAGCATTTGGACCATGCCAAGTCACCACAGCGAGCCGGGAGTCCTCCGGACTCCTAAGTCTCGAAGCGGAGTCGGGACCCGACCACCGACCTGTTGGTGCCCGACCTGGTGGTGCTCGGTCTGACCAAACAGGCCAAGAGGAATGAGTCAGAGTCAGATCAATCAGGATGGAATGAGTTCCTACACAGGCGCGTTAGGATCCTTGTTTCAGGTCATTCTTCCAATCTGCAGATTGGCGCGCCATGTTCGGCGACAAATTTCATCCCCTGACCATATGCGTCTCAGGTGAAACACCATGAAGCCAGCCTCGCTTGTTTAACACAACTGGAAGTTGCAGGGTGGAGCCAGAGGAGGTCCTTTTGCGTCCTTTCGGACCTTTATGGGAGAACCATTTCTACCTACGGCTCTGCTTTGATTGGAAGTTGGACCATATTTTGGGTGGTTGCGGTCCAAAATAGAGGTCACTCAGGTAGGTTCTAGGTTATATACTGTATATAAATACAATAAGTCATTGACCTGACGCAGGTACCTTCGGTTTAAGAAGCAGGCTGGAGGCTGCCCGCCCCATTTCTTCCCGTCAAGATTGGTTGAGTAACATCATCAATCCAACTCATGACTGCCTATCCTTGAGGTATGAGCAAAGTGAGTTGTAACCACCGTTCAGTTGGGCTTTTCATGACGTTTGTGACTGAACGGCTACAATTCCCACGTCCGCGCGCATATCTTACACCAATTCGTTCAAGAATTTGACAGGTCGGTGGGCTGAACAGCTCTGGACGTTCGAACCGTTTGAACTTCACCATGAGCTGGACTACTGTCACTACTACCTGCTCCCGTCGTTCGCCCCCTTTACCAAACTGCGAGGGACCAAGACGAGAACTCAGCTCCGCCTTCGGCCGAAGATCCGCAGGCTACTAGCGCTGCTCTATGACAAGGCGGGCGGAAGACGGGGCGGATGGGGCTCCGGGAGTTCGGTCCCCACCGGGCGAGCCGGGGGCGAGCCGGGGGCGAAGGAGCCCATGGGTGGGGACTGGGATTTCCGAAAGGGTGATTCAAGAGAGAGTGTTTTGGAGTGGCCCCCCTCAGGTTTCCATCTTTATGGGAGGACCTTTGCAGTGATAATTAGAGGGGGGTTCGTCACGTTTCTTGCCGTAATATTTAGCAAAAGCAAGCTTTTATCACTGGTTTGGGCACGGTTTGTTAAGGGATGATGGACAGTCCAAGAGTGACCACAGTTGGTCCCTACCTAACCAGCTTGATCTCATGCAGTGCTCCCCCTTGCTGCAAGAGCAAGTGCGCTTGAGCCAGCTGACTTGGACACATCTGCATGCTGGACGTGGTTCAAGGCTTGACCGATGCTCTACCTTTTAAGATTCTCATCAATACAACCGCTGCTGGACCTCCTTGACAAAGTGCTGCATCGCACCATCATCTATCACAAGTGCTGTATCGCACAAGTCGTGCCTTTCTCTGCAACATTCGGGGCTTGGGAGGCTTCCGGCCTAAGCCATCCGTCATGTGAAGTTACGCCATCCGCAGCTTTGCTGGTCCAGGTGGTGGTCTACGTTCGCACAACATTTCTTGGAAACTTCAAGGCAGACTAGTCTACTGATTGGAAAAGGGCATGATCTACCAACCAGGCCGTGAGCAAAAGACGCCTGCCGAAGAACGGATCTGTTTAACAGACTTACTAAGACTCAGAGGACCGATATCTACATGTCCCGCTGCATGCGAGCGGGGAATCCCAGAATGCTAGACTTTCAGGTGGGTGTGTATTCGAAAAGCCAGACCCCTCAAAGACCTCTGGGTAAATCAAGAACAGACCAAATCCATTGGTTAGGAGGTCCCCATCCTGGCAGTCAAATACCAACCCGTCTTCTTCGACCCGTCTTCTCCGCCTTTCCGCCCGTCCGCTAGGAGCGCTTAGCGGTGCACTACGAGTTTGCGGAACTCAAGGCGTGGGTTTCCCGTCTATTTTTCTCCCAAAAGAAGCACTGGAAAGTGCTCCCAGTGCTCCCCCAGTGCTCCTCCCCCGCAAAGGGACTTGACACGAGTTCCAGTTCCAGGTGCCGGAGGTTGAGTCAGTGACACCGGTCGTCGACACACACGTCACGCCGACACAGGCAGCCTGTGCTGACCACCCCGAAACGCCTCTCAAGACCAATTGGATAGCCAGAGGATTCCTTCCGACACGTCCGTGATCGATGTGTGTCAAGTTCGGCGCCGTGGCACGCGCCTTCGGGATGCTTCATGTTGCTTCTATCCAACGTGACTGACCAAAGCAAGTGGACAACCCTGCACTCCGCTGTGAAATAGTCTTTGGTACTCGCTGCACAGCCCGGATGAGTGCAAAAAAACCCTTCCCCGTGGCCCCGTGGGGGGGAAGAAGAGAAAAGACTTTCTCTTAGGGGATTCTGTTTGTGCACATTGTTTTGAGGTGTGTTTTGGCGTGTTGGACTCCATCCACCTCCACGCGGTCGGGACGCGGTCGAGACGCTCAGGGCGTTGAAGCTTTGCTGGCCGTGTTGAGGCGCAAGACGACCGGTCGAAGCGCTTTTGACGAGCGCTGGGGGGATGCGGAAAACTGGGGCAGCACTGAGCTCTGAACTGCAAGTGGCTTTTAGGCATGCTCAAAGGGTATGGAGAGGTTGTAGGAACGAAGTAAAAGGAAGATGGCTGTTTCTGACAGGCGTTCTTCCCCTTCTGCCTAGAGTAGATGACTGACGCAAGCAATGTGTTGCTGGAAGACTTTTGTAAAGACATCTATGAACACCGCCCAAGATCTCAAGCAAGAAGCAGTAGACACAGTACTTGACCCAGCTTGCAACAAGGCTATGGCGGTCTCCATGCGATTTTTGGCGAAGGCTTCCCATACCTTCGAGAGCATTGTTGCGGGGGCCTCACCGAAGGCCGTGCGCACGCCGAAGACGCCCATGAGCCCTAAGACGCCGATGAGCCTGCCCATGAGCCCACCCATGAGCCCTTCCGGTTTGAGCCCGAAGCGTGGCCTGAACTTCTTTCCAGAGGAAGTGGAAAAGCGCAGCAAGAGGTCCACTCACCAGCGCTCAGTACATTTTGAAGAGAGTGCACCAACGTTGGTGGGGAATTTCTCACGCCTTCTGGGCGGTCGATTGCGACCGGCTGAGGAGACTCGAAGTTCTCCCGCCAATGCTGCAGCAGCTGCATCGGCCACGCGAGATGCCGTGCTGGCTCGTCTTTCAAGGAAGGAACAGAGAGATGCGCCGGTGCCGCAACCACCAATGAAACAAATCCTCCCCATGCTTCTGGGACATCGTCCCGCTCTCAACGCACCCAGCAAAGCAGTGGAAGTGGATGATGTGGATGTGGAGTCGTGCTCATATGCAGCTCGAAAAGCTTTCTTGGAGCAACAGGAGAGGAGGGCAAGCAGGAGCATGGCAAACTTTGTGGTTTGAGAGATCTGGATAGTCCTTGAGTGAGCAAAGTCAAACTCAAAAAAATCATGCTTCTTTATTTTCTTTTATGCTATCCTTGTACAGAATAGAGAATAGCAAGGAAACACCCTTGTACAGAGATGAGCCAAGGACTCTTTGCATTTCAGGATGCACTGCTTAGGGCTGAAACTGAGATGTGCAGAGCCACGTCCAGCTGTTTCAGCTTGTCCATGCTCAGAAATGCCGACGATGCGCCGGCCGCCTTGCCAAACAGGACGCACGCACCAGCTGAGCTTAGAGAAACTTTCACATTGACAATGTTTGGCGTGGATCCGGCCATTTCTTCTACCTCTCACAAGACAACATCCCTGTTGTGAGCTCCGTGACTCCACCGTGACACCGACATGGGTAGCCCTGGTAGGTTGACAGACCGGAACAAGATCCTTTTCGGTGAGACTTGGCCTAAGATCCTTGACACCGATTTCAACTCATTTAAACCTACAATCCAAACAATCCAAACATCCCTGGTGCTCAGAACACCTTCGTTTCTTCGGTTCTGCGCAGGCGGCACGGCAGCGGCACCGCCTTGGCGGCCTTGCGAGTGCTCGAGAAGCGCGGGAGCCGAACGGAGCCGAGCGGAGCCGAGACGGCAGAGGGTACTGGTACGACCCAGGTCATCTCCCTCAGAGTCTACAGACATCGACCTTGGGACCATCCAGGTGAGTGAACTGAACATGGGAAGGATCTTTTAAAACAACCTAGGCAAGTGCAAGCAGGACAATGGGCAACACATTTTTGTGCATTTCTTTCGTTTGTTTTTACCTAAGTCTCTTCTCTCGCGCAGAGGTTTAGACTCCCCCCCAAACGGGAGGCGTCTCGAGCCTCTCGCGCCACGAAGCACGGGCGTCAGGCTCTCTCGCACGGTGCCTCGTGAGCTATGTGTGGCTGGAGGCCTCCGCCCGGATCGGACCCAGGGCGCAAGAGCAGAGGGCGTGGAGTGCGAGTGTGGGAGGGCGGCTTCGCGGGAAGACAGAGCAACGGCCGTTTGGCCACTTTGATGGTTGGAGAGAGGGTATATAGTAGAAGTAGTGGCAACAAGAAACCCAGGAGGATGGCCCGTGTTATTTTGTTGTTTTTTTTTGTGATATGAATTGATATGATATGTGGTGATTCTGAAGAATCCTGGTGTTTGAGGGCCTGGTAGATCCAGCAATCCTGGATATCCTGGATTGATTGGTGAACAAGTCGGGAAAAACGGAGGTTTGGAAGCTCCTCTTCATGAAGTGAAGAGATGGAGTTACATGGTGCAAAGAAAGTCGTTCTGGTTGAGAAGACCCAGGAAGTGGGGATGTTGGCTCCTATCCAGGAGTGTCCCTACCAGGATAACCGACTTTCCAAGCGAGTAAGCAAAGCGACCGTCTGAAATACAGTAGGAGTGTCCCTATTGTCTGAGATGCCTTTTTACTGATTGCTGCCGACCGCGATGGCGGTTTCTCCACCCCAAGTGTTTTGATTTCATGGCAAGACTCTTGGTGCTTTTCATCACTGCATGGACATTCACGAAATCTAGTGCCTTTGGCGAAGAGTGCCCATTCGCCTCCGGCAGCCTTCAATAACCCTGGTATTGAGGTCCTAGCGTTTGTGAGTGGAGAACTCTTCCTTTAGCAGTCGGTTTTCCTGCTGACCCACTAAAAAGCGTGCGGTGTGCGCGGGGTGCGCATGGGGAAGCCGGAAGCCTGGAAGGAACTTTTACCTAGAAAGGATTGTGCTCAATCAGTTTCGATCTTCACAGTTGTTGCAGGTGTGGATGTGCTGGCAAGATGTGCTGAAGTGCCATGCCAGGCCGCTGAGTTATAGTTTGGGCAGATGAAGATCTTTGAGATTCGGGATGGAAGACGGACGATCTCAGTGAGACTTTTGAATGTGATGTGTATGGGTCATTGCGGTGTGGTGCCTTGGTAGACTTTTGGATGAGGAACGAAGCTTGATCAATCCTTGTGGTATCCCTCATCCTCCAGCTTCTTTGATTTTCTCTGTGTGGATGGAAAGATGAAAGGAACATGCCCCTTAGGTAATGCAGCGTCCACCGGGTGCCGTCCACCGGGTGCCGTGCCCCGAAAACTCGGCGGAGGCGCCTCGGCTTTTGGAAGCCTCCTTGAGATGTTTGCATGGGCTCACCTTCGACATGGAGGCAGTGCGCAGTGCGCATAGTGGCCATGTCGGCATGTTTTCACAGCCTTTTTCCCACTAAGTCACAAGCAAGAGTCGTGCCAGATCAAGGATTGGCGGGATGTGTCCTGGCACAATTGGCTACAGCCCTGGCACCATCAGATGCCATTGTGCCGGCGTCACGGGTCATGGTCGTCGTGGGAGCACAAGCGCGTGCCTGCTGGACAGGGGAAAGCGGCCGTGGAGCGCAGGAATGTCAGGGAGATCGCTGGGAGCTCAGAACGGAGAGCAAGCGTTCGCTACGAACGGAGCAAACAGGGCATCGCGACTCGAACGGAGCGATCGGAGGCTACGAACGGGGCTCCTGGCCTTAGTACTAGGAACAAGAAGCTACTAGTAACAAGTGCATCGCTTCTAGTAACAAGTGCCTTACTAGTAGTAACAAGAAGCTACTAGGGACTCCTGGCCCCTGGCCTTACTACTAGGAACAAGAAGCTACTAATGGAGTGGTGGAGGTGGAGCAGATGCGAACATCGGTGGGTCCTAAGGGATGGGGGCCTCCCAGTCCAAACGATGCGTGTGTTTTGGGCGAAGCAAAACGGGAGTTCCTTCGCTGGTCGGTTTTTCCTCCGGTTGATGGGTGTATAGCATGGTATAGTTCTACAACCCGGTGTTTGTGTTTTTCAATCGGCAAAACGATCTATGATGTATGAACCATGTGGGGCTCAGCCGGCTTGAATTGCGTTCTTCCTACACTCTCGGGACGTAGGCCATGCTTGCAGTGATCCTCCAGTAGAAACAAGTCCCAATGAACATCTAAATGACACATGTGTTTTTTTTAGTATCAGTCTTAGTAGTATTATGTAGATACGACTGCAACCAAGCATGTTTTCCGGTGGTCAACGTTTTCGTCCGTGAATCCTGTAGTGGGTTTTGGGTTTCTTCAAAAAGGCATTCCATCCACTGACTGGTCCAAAGACCTGTCATTTAAGAGATTGGAACACCTGGACAAAAAGGACCGGGCTTTTTCATCCAACTAATCAGTAAGACACCCCTGTCATTTTTGGCGTCTTCCTGGTGACACCGGACCGAGCACCACTGGACCAAGCGTGAAACCCCCAAAAAGCGGCAGCTCTTTGAGGCGGAAGCGCTCTTGGAGGACATCCCGCTGCGAAAGCAGCGCCAGGCGAAAGCAGCGAAGGGTTGCTGGACGAGGATGAAGCGAGGGCCGTGATGGTTCGGACACGAGTCGGACACTTCGTACCCATCACAGACAGTACAAGCACAAAAAGGGTCTTGGGAGCCCTGTCCTACTCCGGAAGAAAGGAGGAAATCTCAGACGCCACTCGAGAGCTTATTAATTTTTGATTATCCAGATGGGTTGAGGATGTATCACAAGTCAAGTTGAAAGATGTGGTCCACCAACCATGCATCCTGCACCACTGGACTGAAAGACAGGGACCGCAGAATGCGCGCGGGGGAAGGGGGGGAAGTCGGTCAGGTGGTCTCCAGTGAAGAGGAGCAGCGGTCCCTCGAAGAGGCTTGGGATGATGTCCGGTCCTCAGCGATGTCCTTGTGAAGTCCTGAGATCGTTCCATGGCTCAGGACGTCTGTCGTTCCATGTGTCGGGGCCAGGCCAAACACCGAACGGCCAAAACTGATCAAAGTACAGTAGTCACACTGCTATCACACTGCTGTTGACGGCCCCAAAGACTTGAAGTTATGTATATACACCTGGGAAATATTAACATGGAACCTGATGGCATGGACCCTTGGAAGACGATTTTCCTTTCCAACCCAGTGGTTTTGAGATTCCACGTGAATTTTCCCGGGCGTACTTTTATGCATTTTTGTCTGGGGCAACATCAAGGCTTGGTTGTGATCGAAACCTTTTTTGAAAGGAGCTGAGTCGGCTGCATGAGAAGAAGAAGAGTCGGTCGAAGGTCCACTTTTCTGGCCTGTTCAGAGGCGAACATGTTTAAACACGCTTCCGCTTCCGATCAACAGAGAATCAGTGTGAGAGAGAGAGAGAGAGAGAAAGATCGTTGATCCATATGCAAAGGCACCCCACTCTGAAGTTGCCTGATGATTCTTTTCCACTCCACCGCGTTGGACCTCCAACCGAGACCACGGTGATTTGCCGGCGCCTCTTGCAGCGCCTGGGAGCTGACGTGGGGCGGAAGATCAGGCAGGGGCATAGCGGCGGGCAGCGTCGGGCCGGCGAGCCGCGGGAGGTTGGGTCCTGGGTTGGATCCTGGGCGGTTTTTCGAAGAAGCCCTTGGGCCACGAGAGAACCCCCGGTACAGGTCGAAGTTCCGGACCTTCGACTGGGTGCGTGGGGCGCATGTGACAATGAGAGTGACAAACTCACAATGGCATGTATAGGAGGGGCATTGATGGAATGAGGTGGGAACCTTCTAGTCTAAAGTGCTGCCATTCGCTGGGTTTCAGGCAGAGGTTCCGGAGCTTCTCACACACTCATCCAAAACAGAGAGGCCATGTACAAAAGGCATGACATAGACGTCAATGCATGGAACGACCCCATGTTTTTCTCGCAAAGTGATTTGGTTCAAGCGCGCCGTTTGTTTCTCGGCGACCGCATGGGAGAAGGCAGTGAAGGCCATGAAGCAGTGCGAAGCGCTTTTGACCGCTTTGATGTTGACCAAACTGGAAGCATTTCTCGAGATGAGCTGGGAGGCAGGGTTGTTCTAAATGTTCTTGCTATCATCACTGCATTACAATACTTGACCACTTAGATTTACTGTACTCAGTAGGGACCTATTCTGTGCATGGACCAGTAGTAGGGACGCATTATCCAGGAGGATTTACGGTACTTTTCTTTTTGGTCAGGTCTATTTGGGTTGTAGAGAGTCTCCCAAAATGCTCAGTCTGCTTGGTGAAAGGGATCCTTTGCTTGGAGGTCTCTTAAAGAGTCTCAGCCCAGAGTGGGATGACGCAGCGATTGACCAGATGCTTTCGACCGTCGATCTCAGTGGGGATGGCCAGATCCAAATGCAAGAGTTTTTGCAGTGGATCCTCGTCTGCGTCTGCGTGACTTTAGAGTTGTTTAGATTTAGAGTTATAACCTCCACTTAGCAAAAGAAAAGACATGTTAAGAATACAACAAATCAGTGTTTTGTCAATGTTAAAAATGAATGTGTCTCCAGGTCAGTGTTGACAATCAGTGCCAACAACAGTGTTGACAGTCAGCGCAAGCCAACACTGTTCAGTTTTGAATGTGTGTGCATTGAGGGTTGTTTGCTTGGCTTGGCCTCTTACTTGAAGGTTCAAGTTCAAGCTTGAGGCAAGCAATTCAGGAATTGGACCATTCAAATACCTTTTCAATTACCTTTACCAAACTCTCTCTCAAATACACGCGTGATCCAGTGCTAGTGTCGTTTCGGATGCTCCAGTGCTAGCTGTAGAATTACTTGATGGAAGGGTGCATCAGAGCTGAGATGGATGGTCTCCTTCGTATCGTCACATCGGTGTGTTTTGTACGAAACTGATGTCGTCTGCTGTGGTGAAGGATTTCCGTAGCCAGTGGGGTGAACAGGCGGAGTGGTTCGTCGCATGGTTCGGCGCAAGTTCTTGACGAACGGAGACACCGAGGGGCGAATACGAAAAACATACCATTTGTGAAAACCGTTTTTGATGGGGGTGCTGGGATGTAGACAATGTAGCGCGTTGTCAGAGTTTTGCACAGAAACGGTCTTTGCACACAACTAAGGATCTTTTATGACGACCCTGGCTTGTTTCAGGCCGGTGAACTCAAGTGCTTCTGCATTGAAGGCTGTAGCCGCAAGGACTTGAACGGTCACTATGTGCTCGAGCAAGGCACTAAATACTGTGGCCGTCCAGTCTACTATTGTGCTAAGACCATGAAGTACCTCTTTTTCAACCGGCGGAAAGGACCAATTGAGCATAGATCAAATGCATTTTTACTGTGTTTTATTGTTGCTTTTTTTAAATGGGATGGTTGAGGGGCTGTGGGGGGGGTTGTGATGGTTATGCTTGGGCTGCTGATTGTTGGCCGAGAGGAGACACTGCTACGCTGTGAATACCTTTTGGCTAGACCTTTGACAGGCCGCTCACCAAGTCTATTAACACTCAGCTGTAGAAAAGGCCGAATCATGTGTCCCCCCCACTCCAAAATAGAGGATTTTGACACTATGTTGGGTTGAAATGGAAGCTTGCGCATCCAATGTGTCACCCTTATGGTCATTTTGTCGACACGTCTCTAGTACCATTGGAAAGCAGGATTCTTTCCTATCCAAGGCTTATCATAAAACTCTCCTGCCCTCCCGGTGCCAAAACGATACTTTTGGAAGTGCCAAACTGCCTCTTTGTTCATTCACATCGTATGCCCAAACTGAATAAGACACATGTCTGAGACCAGGCTTATCCAGGCAATATGCATTGCAAGGACTCTTGTGTCAAGGCCTTAAGCACAAGGTCAACAGCCCTCCCCACTACGCCTGGCCAATATGTGATTGGAAGTGTTTTGATGTTATCCTCCAAGACTGATACTTCGAACACTTCGAGGCCCTGATACTTAGAACACTTCATGGTATTTTGGTCGTAAGGATCGAGTGCAACTTCTGGCAGTGCCATACCATGCACTCACAACTCCAGGAAAGCCGGACCAATGGCAAGTGCATCCCGAGCTGAACTTTCGGGCCTTGTGCCGCTTAAGAACTTCCAAGGAACCAGATTCCCAGGGGCCATGGGTGGTGAACCACGGGCTACAAGACGTCGGAGGAGACGCATCGAATCGCGTGGGAAAAGCGCTCTTTACGACGATATGCACGGCCAGGCGAATCGAAGTTTAGAGCTCTCATGACATTCCGAAGTTGGCCCAGAGGAATGATATGAAAGTCTTTCCTGTTGACATCTGTTGAATGTTGTTTCATAAACCCTCCACTAATGATCTGGATGGTCAAGCATCTTCAAATGGACAGTCAAGAAAGAACCCAGTTCGGAGCGTCTTACTGTCGAACAGAAGAACCCCCATGAGAGCTGCGACCGTGAAGCGTTCACGAAAAGAAAAGACCTTGCGTTCCGTGAAGTGTGTCGGTTTTGGTCTATTTTTTCCTTGACCAGGGGGTTTTGGATGGCGGTCTTGAGTCACAGCCCATTGCAGTTGGCGGAGGTGCTACTGGAAGAATGTGGTGTCCGAATCGGGGCTCCCCACACCCTGCTGGCCAATTTTAATTGTTGCTAGAGGCTCAAGAGCCATCCGGACTCCAGACACCCGTGTCTTAGTTCCCCATGAAAAGAAGGCATCTCCATTCTTGTGAAGATTTTCCCCAGTCTGGAGGAAAGAAGACGTGGGTCTGGGAGCAAGAGGATCAGATGAGCTGTCGTGAAGTGGATCTGTTGGCCGAAGAGCTTCGAGCGAGCGCTCCCCCCATCATCCACCAGCCGCTCACCTTCGGGAAGACTGGACCCTTGGGTTTGTATCGGAAGACAGATCAGATCTTCAATGATCGCCCGGTCTACTACTCGCAGAAGTCCAAGCTTTACATCTTCTACCAGAAAGCCCAGGTGGGGACACGCTCCAACATTAGACTGTTAGCTTGACTGTAAAAAGAATATGTGTTACAGTATACACCCCGGCAAATCCAGAATGGTGTCACATCTCCATATCGAGAGTCTAGACTGTTTTGGAGTTTCAGACTGGCTCTTGTTTGGTAATTAGACAGGTCCTGTCAATCAACAGCCTCCCCTCCATTCTCTGACCTTGGACGCTCTGACCGAGCTTCGGGGCTTCGTCGGACCCCGCGTCCAGGTGGGGAAACGTGCTGATGGCACGTGGGGGGCTTTGCCCGACAGGGACAAGATGAATCGCTGGAAGAGGTACTATTACGTCAAGGAGTCGATTTGGGCATGTTCTATCTTCGAATGGAGGTGGTCTGGCTTCAGTAGGAAGCCACAGCGGCTATAAGGGTTCTACGTCGATTGCGGAGGATCCCCTAGACAGGGACCACAGCAAAAATAGAGAACAAGATGAAACACACATAAACACACGAACCCGGGTGCAACAATTGTTTGAATACCTCAGACTCTGTGACACTCTTCTACTACACACTTGTGGTGTCTCACGTGCTCAAGTCGACGAGCCCTGCAAGAGCAAACCCAATAGCTGCTGACTCCGTGACATTCAAAACCCCCAACAAAAGGAGTGTGGAGGGCCTCTAGTGCGTTTCTTTCTGGACTGAGTGAATACAAGACTGCCGATCCGCAAGACGGCCGATCTCAAAGGAAAGTGACGCAGAGTGCTGGCAAATAATATGTCACAAAGTCACGATTCCGCGCTGTTTCACACGAATCTGACACGCCATCCTTCCATCTAAGACCTTCTCCAAAAGCTTGACGAGGCGATCGTGCAAACAGTTGAGCGGGTGATGACCAGGTTGCCGACGCCAGAGCAACGTCAGAATACAGCTCTACCCCCACATTCCGAGTTAGACGAGAAGCCTTTGCTGCGCATTTGGGACTAGCGAAAAGGGGGCAGCGACAGCCAGGTTCTCCGAAGCAGAAATGGTTGGAATCTTGAGATTGGTTCTGTCCAGAAAAATGGGTGAGTTCTCTTTCTCCAGGTCCCATCGGCCCATCTGATAGGAGACGTGCCCTGCAATAAGCTTCAGCTCTGCGACACAGGGCTTTTCTCCAATCACCGCCACCTGGAGGACAGTTGTTTTCGATGGTCGACCGTTTCTGTAGGCTTCGACACGTCAATGCGACACGGTGCCGGGAAGGACTGTTCACGTTTCGCAGAGCGGCTTCTGGATTCCAGTCTCTGCCAGGCACTATGAAAGTAGTACCAGGGCCCGCTAAAGGTGTGTCTCATAATGGCCCCATGCCATAGGCTAAAGGGGTGTCCATGAACCACCCCAAACATGGGGGGGCTGGTCAACCTTTTCCCTTCTTCCAAATCTTCTTGCACTCTTCCAGATCTCCCTGTTTTCACCGGAAGAATCCCACGGCCTGACCGGTCAACTGGTGGGCCGTCCGGTTCGGGTTCTTCCTCCGTCTTCGAGTCTTCGCTGAAATCGCCACCGAGTCGACTGGAGGACCCGCGACGGCGAAGTCCTGAAGTGGACCTGCCCAGATCCTTCCAAGTGTCCAGAAAGGAAGGTGAAAGATCCTGACGAGGAGGACCTTGAGCCAGTGCCAGCAGGGTGGAAAGACCCTGACTTCCCACATGAGTTCTTGGCAACGGATTGGTCGCAATTTGTCCTTGTCCTTCTTTTGGATCCCCCTCATTCAAAGGTCTTTTTTGGATTTAGGCTTTGAGTGGGCCAAGGTCCAGCAGTTGCAAGAGCAGTGACCAGGACAAGGAATTCAAGTGGTTGAGGGCCTATGAGCTCTCAAGGAACCTCTCAGGCGATTTCACTGCAACCTTGTTTGGTGAGGGCACGGAACCCGCTGATGCTTGCCAGGGGGCAATTTGTAATTGCTGGCTCATGGCTGCAATCTCCAAGTTGGCTGAATACCCGGGTGTCATCGAAACTTGCAAGAGTTTACTGAGCATGGTGTCACTGTTGCTCTTTCTTCTTTCCCCGGTGAACAGACGGAATAGTCATAGTCATAGTGAATGAGGCAAACCCGGCAGGTCATTTCTGCGTGGAATTGCGGGGGAGACCCCTGGTCCCTGGATTTTCCGCCACGGAGGATTCATCATTTCTTCTCCACATCTGGCCAAATCCTGCCAGGAAAGCTTGTTTTCGCCCAAGGAGGCCTCCTTGGAGGGCAAGTATGAGATACGTTTGTGCAAGGAATTCACTGGTGGGAAGACAGAGTGGACCGTGGTCACCATCGACGATTATCTTCCTTGCAAATATGGGAAACCCATTTATGCCAAGTTCCACAAGGGCAAGATGCACCGAAGTTCCATTCAAGTTTTTTGTGACAACTTTTCCAGTTTCTTTTGCATTTGACTACGTGTCCCACATGTCTTGCAGCACGTGCAAGCACGCATTTGGCCAAAATCCATGCAGAAAAGGTATGTTGCATTGCTGGAAAAGGCGATCGCCAAGCTGATGGACGGAGACAAGCAGAGGGGCCGGCTGACGTTTGAAGGAAAAGGCACGTACGAAGCTTGCTCTTCGCTTAAGGTGCTTTGCTTCTTTTCAATCTCCTTTTGGCAACATATGTAGGACACTGGGACCTTTAAGTATCATGAAGTATATGTATTTTCAGATTCCTTTTGCACCCTTCCAAGGCCAGCTTCTTTTCAGGAGGCATGAACAACTTTGCATGGTCGATGATGACGGGCTTGTATGGTTACACTTGCTATGGACCACCACATGGAGAAGACCGGGCTCAGTGGCAGGCGCTAGAGAACCTCGCCGTGACCACTGATCCAAGCGAAGAGGAGACTGAAGAGCTGGGCGTTTTGGGTGCTGGAGCGACCATCCAGGCGCGCGCAGGACATGAAAGTACCGCAGGTGGGTGTCAAGCAGGATTGGGTAAACTCTTGTATCACCTAACATGGGGTACAGCAAGACAACAGAGATTTGATAGGATTTGTGACCTTCAATCATTATATTAGTGGTCCCCAAATATATAATGGTATGGTTTCCAAAGTCCTTTTTTGCAGACCCCACATAGATAGACAAGTAAATCCCCACTAAAGCATCGGTGAACGATTGAGATCTTCTTCTTTTCACTTTTCTCATTCCCACGGCCTATCAGCCGGACGATCTGCGGTCACGCGGCCTGGCGATGAGTTTCACTCACGGACTCAAACGTCGGTCACGGACTCAGCTTCGGCTGGCGAAGTAAGCGGTCAACAGGAAGTGGAGCTGTGGAGGTGCTACGTGAAGTTCCAGAAGATGTCTGGTGAAGGTCCCGAGGAAGGCTGGGTGCCCAGCTACATTCTCGGACGGCGGGTGGCCAAGCGAATCTCCAAGCTGCTTGGATGATGGCCTTTCACCATTGGTTGGTTGATTGCTAGAGGTGATACCCTCAACTATACAATCAATAGGTGTGGGATGGTATAGGGTACCAAATCGATCCCTTTGTTATTCCCCAAAGGGGATGTGGTTTCAGGGCGGCAGGGATAGGCAGGAAGAGCATCCCCAAGATTGGCTTCCCCATCCCAACTCAGATCGTCGGATGTTTGCTTGGGGGAAAGCACTGAAGGCACCCATCAGCGATGTTGAGCAGGTCTGAAACTGGGTGCTGGCTGGTGATGGCTGTTTTGTGGTTGACTTGCCCGCAAGCAAGTACCATGGTTGTTTATTGAACATGTTTGAACACCATTGCTTCTGCCTTTAAACATGGCTGCAACAAGCGAACATGGACAAAACAAACACTTAACGCAACAACAAAAAATATATAGACAACATTAGACAACTATATATATATATATACAATTTGGGTCTGTCCGATTACCTGTAACAGTCAGTAAACAAAAGGCTCTACTAACCATCATCATCCACTAATAGGATAGACCCAATATATAATTTGTTATTCAAAAAAGCTGGAAAGGTCATTCGGACCCGCTGCCGTGACGGAAAGTGTGCTGTCCAGGAGGTGATTGGGAAACTCTTTGCTACCACGGGCCATGGCAGGTTCACATTATTTTACCTTTAAAGGAGGATATGCGTACATCTAGAGTTGTCTACCATGTCTTTCCAAACGGACAAACCAATCACTTTTGCCAAACTATTGGGGCCCCTCTAGCTACGTGGCTGTGGCCGCCTGCCAATGCGCCAATGGAACGAGGCGACTCGCCCGAAATCGGGTCCACTAGGCTGAAGGGACATCGCGATGTCCCTTTCGGTGTCCCGAGATGTTGAGGTTCCCGTGGCACATCTACGTTCCAGAACCCTTTGAAGGTTCTTATGACGCGAAGCCAGTGGAGGACCTACAGTACTGAGCGGGAAAGACGTCCTTTCTTTTTTATTCGTTCGTCGTGCATGAGTCACACGCTGGTTATGAGAGGGCTGGACACACGTGTGGAAAGAGTTTTTGAGGCGGCGAGCATGTGTATTATGAATTACAACCAGGTTCCTTTTCGGTGGCTTGCATGTTTCCAACTCCGGGCTTTGCTCGCTTATCTGACCCCTGCCATGGCACAGGCCTCTTAAGGTGCTGTAATGCCATTTAGATATTTAGGGACCCGGCCAGAGCAATCGGCCTGGCCTAATACATTTTGAGCGCCTGGCCGGGCCAGTATGTTTATTTGCATGGAGGGCAGGAAGGAATAGGTGCAATGGTAACCAATTTGGGTTTTGAAGCTGTCAGAGTTCCTGTCTCACCAAGCAGAGTCACCCCGGTCACCACTTCAGACGGGTCGCCCGTTTGGTGGTCGGATGGACAGCCGGTGAAACCTTTTGGGGTGCTTTGACCACCATACCTCTTCCCTGTTGGGGCGGTCGGTCGGAGGGCCATTTCTTCCCTTGTTTTGCAGAGCTTTCCCGAGAAGAACTCATCATGGAACTTGAGCCATGGTATTGTAGAGCACAGCTTACAGGTCATTTTCCAGGGTCAGCTCAACAGCTGAATGAAAGAAAGGATTGGTGTACTTGTTTGCTGAAAGCTTGAAGCAGTGAAACAAATGCTTTTGAACAGAATCCTGTAAGGGCTGTGAAAAGAAATCAGAGTCAAGCTACTGGTTTCGGTCGACAGGGTCGGCGCAGGTGCACACAACAAACCCTTTCCTTGTTTGCCTGTGAGGAGGAATGGGTGTGGGAGAAGATGATGGAGTTTGACAAAGATAACTCTCTCGTCGACGTTTCGCTGACCTACAGGCGTAGTTCGGCAGAGCTCAAACAGGATGGTCTCTTAGGCGGGGGAGATGGGGAAACAACCATGACAGGTGGTAGGTAGGCCACCTGCGGGGCGGCAAGTTTCGTCCATCAAAAGGTCGCGTGACTGGAATCCTGGAATTTCTGAGTGGACACAACTCCGAGTGTCCTTTTTTAAATCCCTCCGAGCCTGAAAGACTCTTGTGAGCGTCCAAACCGTGCAGTGAATCATGGCTACACTTGGTTACATGCGATTGAAGTGGACGGCTGGCGAATGGTCTGCTTGAGAAATCCCTGGGGGCGCTGGGAATACCGGGGGCCCTGGAATGACCTCGACGACGCTTGGGACGCCAACCCTGCAGTGCCGCTTGGGCAGAAAGACATCTGAGACATGGGCAAACCGGGCTGGGCAGATCTTGTGTGTTGTGTTGTTTGGTATTCAGCTTTGGGTGACAGCCCAAACACGTGAAACCTGAGCCGTTCTGATCTCTTTTGTCGCATGCAGGCAGCTTGGTCAAGAGCTGCATGACACCATCATAGCTAGTGATGTAAACTGTAGGTCTGTAGGACACGATCAATGGCCCTGGCTCAAGAATTGGCTAAATATCAGTGGTTAGTGACAAATAGATACACATATGGTGTGTATTTAAGCTGGGAGACCTCCCAGGCAATATCGTATTGTCTTGCTTGATGTACAGGTCTTTGTTGTCCGTGAACCTTGAAAGCCCTTTTATCTAATTGGTAGGGAACTTTGGGACCATTTCTTCCCTTCTTCATCCAAGTTTTGGGTACCAGGCAATCAACCCACGAAATGGGCTCCAAAGCCATCTGTT